ATGTAATGATGCGTCTTTAGCRAGCGCTGCGTCATGACTAACCTTACAGGAATTGTTCCAATGCCTAACGATGGAGAGAAGTCACCTTAAATAGTGTCTGCTCGAGTTATACATCGGGGCCCAAAATTTACTCTAGACCTCTCTGAGTGACACGTTATTTTCAGCTGAAAATGTGATGTATTAGTGTTAATGGAAGTGCAGGATCGCAGAGAAAGAAACGGGAACCGCTGTTTCTAATCACGTAAATATCCACCAGGCCACGATGAGAGGGGCTCCCGCGAGCACCTCCTCACCCTTGCAGGAAATGTCCACCCCAGCGCCAGAAGTCTTCTAACAGGACAAAACAAAGCTTCAGTTAGACAAAAAATGTATTATGAAGTATAAAATGCTCTATCTTCCACAATTCTTTATTAAATATTTAATTAGGTTGCATCATTTCATTACAACGAGTTCATTTTGTCACATTGAACTTTTGCGGTCAGGAAAACAAACTACAATTTCTTTCACTTCTCTTAAGAAAATAAATGGAAGGAATGATTTTTGCCCTTAAACAAAACCTTTTCCCATAGTGTACCAAATCCAACCACAGTTTAAAGCTATTTTAATTGTGAAAATGAGCATTAAATATGTAGTTTAAAAATCAATTTTAAGGTAGTTTAGCATAATTTTGAATTGCTTCCTCGTGTGAGGCAGTTTTACAAAAAAAATTATGACTATATGAATTCAGTTGGAATGTTTGAAACTCTTTGGAGTTACCAACAAGCTCAGGTTTAAATTTGATTTATAAAATTAATGTTCACAGGGCCTGTAACAGCGTCCCTCTCTGGCGATTTCCAGAGGGGCTCTGAGCATCGTAACCTTCCCACATGGCAGGGCTGTGGTGCAGAGCGACTCATGCGCCTCTAAATCCAGGGTAATGGATTCAAGAAGCATAAGAATGTGACGTGTGTGTGCTAGTGTATGTGGAGACATGCAGTGTCTTCTAGAGATAAATATATATGCAAAATCTTAAGAAAAAAGGAGCAAAGGCTACATGAAAATAGAAAAGAAAAAAAAAAAAGGCATGTAGCTGGGAGATGAGTGGAGAACCAGATTGGTTACAAGTTTATATATAGGTGTATGACTAAGTAGGATTTGCATGGATGGCGTGTTCCAAGGTCTGTGTGCAGTACGGCAGCTCTGGTAGGTCGGCAACATTAATATGGTTAAATTCCGGTTCCTAAGCTCCCCGTGCATCTTGCATCGCCTCTTAATGCAACATCAGCTGAGGTAGCTGAAGACTGAAGGGGCTGTTCTTGTACAGAAATCATTCTGTATCTAATGTACATTGAAGATGTCCACTTGGGTAACCCTACCTTTTTTGCACTGCACCCACTGATGAGCAGCTYGGGTAGTCAGGGGCCTCACCACGTGTTCCCGCTGCTGGGAAGGCAGAGGAGCGAGTGCACAAGGAGTGAGCGTGCAGGGTGCGGGCAGGAGCATCGCGGAGCGAGCGCGCGGGGTGTGAGCAAGGGCGGTGGGGAGTGTGTGCACGTGGAGTGAGTGCGTGGGGTGCGGGCAGGRGCGGCCGGCAGCCTCACGCAGCACTCGTACCCCGAGCCAGAGGTGACGGCCACGGGGCTCCRCCGCCTATAGCGAGACGCAGCTTTTTAGGGATTCTTTAACGTTTCTCAAACCAGTCTCACTATCCTTATTTACTGAGGTGGGCTGGATAGAAACCATTGAATCACTGCTGGGTCATTTTGTGGTGACTCGGCTGAACTAGGAGTGTGTGAGAGTAAATCAAGGCAAAGTAGCTGCGTTAAGGCACTGTACTATGGCACAAATCCTATTGGAGTGGTTGCTTTATTGTATTTTAGATGCTATTTTGAGTAACAGACATATTTAGACACTCTTTTTTTTCCAGAAAAGAGCCTCAGGCCTTGCATTATGAGTTTCAGAGGGACTCAGACATCTCCATGTTGTCAGACAGGAAAGCCTGGACTCCAGCCTAGAACGGCAGCAGCAGCACTTGGGCTTGTGTTACAGGGCGGTGTAGAAGAAGAGGAATTGCCAAGTTAATGCTGGGCCTGTTTAAGGTACTGCAAAGCTGCGGGCAGGTCCCTGGGCTTTGCCATGCTATAGGCGCTGGGAACTGCGGCCGAAGCACATCCACCCCCGGGGTAGCTCGCCAGGTAACCACCAGCAGTGTGTTTTAATAGTGATTTCCATGAGCACAGCTGGATCCATGTAGCTAACTACTCTGATGGCTAAAACCCAAACTAGAGACCAAGCCACGACATTTATACACAGGAAAGTTAYGAAACGCTGTAAGTTCCTGTGAATTCTAGCTAGCAAGGCAGCTTCTGATGCACCACGTGAAACCTTTATGCAGCAACGGGCCTGGCCGGAGCCGTTCCATCAGCCTACCCTGCACACGGAATAGGTGCTTGAGAGGCCCCAGCACAAAAAAGGTCACCCYGCTGGGCCCAGGGAAGGGTCTGCAGCCCGAGGGGCGGCAAGCTCAGAGGTGGGGGGCGCTGAGGAGCCCTCTGCTCCATGGGGCTATGTCCCACGTGGGGGGGGCTGCAGCCCTGCTCCCGAGCAGGCAGCGCTCGTGCAGCACTTGTGGGGGCAAGGCCGAGGCGTGTGGGCCTGCAGAGCCCCCCCAGCGCTGCCCGTGCCCCAGCACTGCTGCTGCTGCAGGCCTTGCTTCACACCACAGCACGCGGGCCAGCAAAACTACCAGCCACCTTAACGCCGCGTCCCGAGGCACTCCAGGCCTTTAGAGGGAACTTTAAACTTCTTTTTCTAAAAAAATATCCGCTCAAAAAATAAACTGAGCCACCAGCACATCAGTTTTTCCTCCTGCAGTGCAACTCRCAGCCAGTGAATTCTTCTGGAGTGKCTGCCAGTTTGTGTAGGTAAGCAAGTGGACTGGGAAGATGTTAGGCTAATTCACTTTGAAGTTCCTTTAGAAACCCCCAACACAGGTGACCCCAACAACATACAAGTCTGCTGTCACTGTTCAGTTCGTGGTCACTGTCAGCATCTGTCATCTGCAAGGACGTTGCTGTAGGTATTAGTCAACCCTGCTTTCAAATTTGAGGCTGAGGGAAGGGGTTAAAGCACAATTGTAACAAGGAGTATCAGCCAAAGCACAACCTGACTTCTCCTTCCACCCCAGCTGAACTACTGCACGATCATCACAGAGAGTGCACTGCAGTTCTGTAACACGAGTCACAGAAATGCTCAGGAGTTGCGAGGTTCTGATACACAGCTCGGGGCAGGAACATGGGCACACAGGAGCCTCCAGGGAAAGAGATTCAGAGGGAAGGAGGACTCCGTGTATGATGATTCCTAGAGAGAGTCTATGTGCTAACGAGCCGTGCTTGTTACACAGAATGGTGTAAATAACTGTATGTGACTTGTTGCTGCACCGGCCTRCCCATCAGCTAAATCCTGAGTGCAGAGCCTCCTCACTAGCCAGTGTGCAGGCCCCTGCTCCCTTGTGTTTARAGTAATCTGCTTGCCAAATGCAAAAGGTCTCAAAGGAAAGTCAGAAAATATGTTTCATAAAAATGAATCCTAACCTGTGTTCAAATTACAATTCGTCCAGGTACCTGCTAGCTCTASAGAGTTTTTCTAAGCCACGACCGTTCGCTGGCTGCCAGCAGCATGAAGCTGCTGCAGTCCCCTTTGTGGCCGCAGGAGCGGCTGCCCCTTGCCCAGCAGCGCCCTGGCCGCCGTGCGGGGCAGGGCGGTAACGAAGCCGCAGGTAACGACGGGCACAGGCTGTGGGGCAGGACCCGCCTTGCTGGGCGAGCGCTGGGGCTGCTGGGCAGCCGCGCTGCAGCGGGTGCGGGCAGAGCCCACGCACCGGGCACGGGCACATGGCACCCGCCGGCTGCCCTGGGCCCGAGGGCACCCAGTCAACATCAGTGCTGCAAGTACAAATCTGTCACTTTTAATCCATCACACAACAGATGCAACTCAGACATTATAGTTTAAGCATGCAACATGTCATAGTAACAAAATTGATTAGATAGCAGTGTATATTAAATAAATTTTTGTGATTAAGTAAAAAATAAATCACAAAAACAATTGGTGAGAACATGTCTGCAGGCTCAGCTCTACATCTGTTTTTTTTTTTCTTTTATACATCAGCAGCAGCCAAATTCACAATTGATAGATATTGCACCAGAAAGACATGTGCAGTGAGAAGGAATATAATCACATTAATGTTTATGATAAAAAACAGATATGACTTCCATGTGTTACATAAAGTGCCTTTAGAGTTGGTGCAGTTAGAAACAAACAAAAAATAGTTATTTAGTTATCATTAGCAAATGCATACAAATAGGAGACAAAACAGATCTGTTTTCCATAGTGCCAAATCACGCAGTGTCAGGTTTCATTCAAAATGCCTCCATTGCAAACAGGAAAGAGGAAAGGTTAATAAAAGTATCACTGTACAAAGGTAATRACAGGGTTAAGCATATTTTCCTAAAATCATTAATGCCAACCCTACCCCAAAATGTTTTATAGTACATGTAAATATTACCAAGGAATAATGAGGCAATTTCTTCACTGAACATGAGATTGGGCATGCTATGTTATGATTCTCTCTTCACTTTTAACTATGCTATTGATCTATATGAAAGAGCAACATCCAATCCTTATTTCTTCTAGAGACAAAAAAATATTTATGTGCTCAGTGAAAAGGTTTTTAGAGTTGCTCTTGATACAGCCCGTGAACAGAAAACTTCCACCATAGCTTTCTCCTATTTCTTTAAAGGTTTGGGAACACAAGGCTCAAAATGCGCTTTGAAAAAATGACACTGGCATCAAGTCTGGTATAAAATTAAGAATAAGAAAAATGCTCATTTTTCCAAGTATATGATATTTAATTGTAATGAAATAAAATCTGAAAATGTCTAAATCAATTAAAAAGTAAACATGAGTTGTAATACTATACCTGTAAAATGATTAATTCCATTCATTGTCATTAGAAATTATGTAAAATATTTATTAAGGGCTTTGCCTACAGAGGCACAACATAAATAGAACAAGTCTTGCTGAAATGTAATCAGAGTACATGTTAACCAGTTGGTAATTTCCTGTGGAAATGTCAGAAAAAAACAATCCACAGATTATAGTTCAAACTTCTGAATTTAGGCAACTGCACTGTAGAAGTGTTTGCTCCATGAACCAACATTGTGCAACTGTTCTGCCGTAGTCACTCAGAGTCCGTTAGGCAAATGCACAAGTGCAAGCAGAACTTGCTTGAAGGGGAGAGAAGGTACTTGTTTTAATCCACTCCTTCAAATCCTTGAGCATTTTCGACTGCCATAAGTAGCTTCTCCCGTAAATCTTCAAAAGATTCATAAAGAGGTAAGTCTAGGCGATTAAAGCTGAAATTTAGAAAGAAAAGATTAATTTAGTAATTGAAAAATGTACATAARCTTAAAGAAGAGGTTAAATTATTTGGAGGCCTTCACATAGGGTATATCTTACTGTCCAAATGAGGGCAATCTCCCATAGTGCCCTTTGCAAACCTAGCTAAAGGCTTGTGTTTGTTTGCAAAATGGGGTTTCAGAAATTTCTTTGCAGAACTGAGTGTGGGAATTTGTTAAAACCTGCTTAGAAAAGGAAAAATATATATATTCAGGTGATAGGAAACAGCTTTCTGACAAAGATGAAATGTTTTCAAAGCCTCAGCAGGGATGCTCTGAATTTGCAGGATACACTTTCTAGGGGAGAAAAAGAATACGAATAAACACCCAAAAGAAGATTTTTTTTTTTTAAAAAAAAAGGTCCTGTACAATCTAAAGAGCTGAAAAATCTTATGTTTTATTCTGTTTTATTCTTTATTCTGTTTTATTCTACAGAATGKTGTTTTTTATGGAAAGAAGACCATCCTGTGCCATGCTTTGTTCAGTCAGACTTTTCAGAGTTCACTGATTCCATGTACCAGGAATAGGAAAAAAGAATCACTGCAAATAAGAAAAGACCATGATGACAGTGAAGGGCTCTATATTTATGCCTTTCTGACTTACCATGTGTGAGCTCTGGGCAGTTTATCAGGACTTCCCCATTGCTCTATTGTAAACAGCTGAGGACCATTTGAACCTGGTTGAAAATGAAGAACATGTGAAGGTTAAATTCCTGGACACTACAGAGACTACCTACAGGTTATTTTCAAACACATTTGCACAAATTATAGGCTATATTTTTAGTTGGTATGGATTAGCTGGTACCAACTCTCTGCAGTCAAGACTACATTAACGCATATAGAAATGATRTATTTATTTCCACATAAGTTTGTTGAGCTATCTTTGCACGGAGATACTGTAAAATTCAAAAAAAAGCAAACTCAGACATTGTGTGGAAAAATGTATGYGCTTGCATAAAGTCACAACCTTGTCTTCCTCATATGCCATGATTATTATTCCTGATGACAGTCAAAATTTGCTTAGTGGAAGCTTACACACATTCCTGGGCAAGGAAGAGGTCTGCATAGCAGCTGATTTGTCCCAAACTGGGCTCATCTCTCACACACCCCCACATTCCCCACGAGTTCCTGGCTCCAGGAAGGAGGACCCTGAGGCTGGGCTCCAAGCTCGGCACTGGCTGCCCGGAGCTGCCCACGCCACCCTTCAGCACGGATGAAGCGGGAGCGGGAGGCAGCTCACCGTAGAGTTCAGCAAATCCGTTCATAGGCACGCGTGACGTCCCGGTAACGAACTGCAGCAAGCGGATCCGTTTCTCGGCGTCCATCAGTAAAACAGCCTGTGGACAAAGGGACACAGGGTCACTAGCTCTCCCGGGGACAGCCASAGATGCTGCTGGTTTCTATTGGAGTGTGAGACTTGGAGCTGTGTGTGGTGCCCGTTAAAGGGGGAGCATCCCGAGTGCCACCGGGCCCAAGTCGGAGGAGCCGCTGCGGCAGCGGCCGCCCCGTCTGCACAGGAGCGATTCCCCGGCACGTCCGCAGCCCTCGCCTGCCACAAGCCACCCAGGGGGTCACCAAGGCCCAGGTCAGCGCTGCACTGTGCGAGGAGCGCAGAGCCAAACCGCCGGGGCCCTCTCACCATGGGGACTGGTGAAATCTCATGCTGTGTAGCACAGTGATTGCTGCCACAAGTAGATATTCTACATTTATACCATGAAGTGGTATTTACAACAGGAAATGGTCAGGCAATGACATAAAAAACCTCCAAATTAACTTGGAATGTATGTATCAAGCTGCAGGATTCTCAGAATTTAAAGTAGCCACCTCCTTGAAAAGTAAAAATCTATTGCTGTTATGAGCAAAAATATTTTAGCAGTTTTTTTTATGAACATATGCTCATAAAAATATTTTACTGCACAGATACTCAAGAGACTTTATCTAAAGCCTGAGGCCCAAGCTGGGAGGCCGGGTCTGTGCCGAGCCCCCCCGCGTCGCTCGGTGCGGTCCACGCCGCCGCGGCGGGCGCCTTACCTTCCAGAACCACTGGATGACAGGGTGGTTGGGGCAGTAGCCGTTCTTGTAGATGGTATGCTGCCGCCAGTCGTTGACGTCCACGTCCCCGAGGCCGCACATGAGCAGCTGCACGGGGACACGGGCTACGTGAGCAGCCCGGCACACAGAGCAGCCCGCTGCCCCCCGGCAGGAAGGGGCCCCGGGAGCCGCGATCCTCCTGGTCCCCCTCCTCATCCCCCTCCTCGTCCCCCTCCTCCTCCTCCTCACGGGAGGAAGCTCCGCGGCCCAGCACTGGGGGTGCTTCACGGACAGCACCGTTCGGAGCGTCCTGCTCAAACTCACATGGCCGGGCAGGCGGAATGGCATCGCTCCAGCAAGCTGCCCGCCTGCCTCACTCAAACATGAACATTTGTTGGGCTTTTTAATAGGTTCATTATTTAGAGGGTAAAGGCCCTCATTTCCCACCATAAGTAAAGCATCTTTGCCTCCTAATTCAATTACAAATTAGTGAATGCAGAAGCTAACACCTCTATTTGCAGAAAGCATTACTGATCTCTCGTCTCTAGAAGTCAATTACACGTACTCACCTCTAGCTCGTTTTCATCAAAAATTTTTATCAGATCAATAGGAAGAAGCTCTGTGAATCCCTGAGAGCAAGCAAAACAAAGTTAGAAATCACAATCATCTCATATACAATTAAATTTTTATTTAACACCATCTTTCTTTGGCTTTAGGGTAGGAAAATAATGAAATATACAGTTGTGAAAGTTTTATAAATGTCTAATTTAAAGATTAATCATTTTTCTTTTCAAGCTCAAGTAATTTAAACATGAAAGAGAATGACCACATGAAGAGAAAAATATGAAACCATAAACCTTGTCATTATAGAGCTCGTGCAATCATACAAAACTCGCCACTTCTGCAATCCGGATACAGAGGTATAAGAAGTGTGTATAAATAAAACAACATTACTCTGGACTCTCAAAAAATAGCCATAATTTTAAAAGATTTTTTTTTTTGGTTAAAAAAAAAAAAAAAAAAAAGCAGCCTTTCAAAGACCTTACCTCCAAAAAGGCATTCATTTGTTTCTGAACTCTATTTACAAATCTCCACTGGATGACGAGGCTGCAGCAGAGAAACAAATTCATTTTTTGATGGTTAAAAAAAAAAAAAAAAAAAGCAGCCTTTCAAAGACCTTACCTCCAAAAAGGCATTCATTTGTTTCTGAACTCTATTTACAAATCTCCACTGGATGACGAGGCTGCAGCAGAGAAACAAATTCATTAGCAGATGGGGAAAAAAAAAAAAAAAATCCCTCCAATCCCTCAAGTTTCCCTGTCTGTGAAACACCTGGAAATGATCAGGCTTTTATTAATCGTTTCAGTTTACCTTGTGTGACCTTTCAGAGTGATAKAAAAAAATCACTGACAAGCATAGAGAAGTTTAGTAATGAATATTTTCAATTTAGCATGTGACATTAAAACGCTGCACATAAAATTCAACCTTTTTTTTTTAGGTATGACCTTTATCACTAAGATTGTTTGATGTAACACTAGCAGATCTCATGGCATTAATCTTTCTTTTCTGAATAAATATCTATGGATATTTATTCAAAGACGAACATGGTAAAATGGCTTACTTGTGCATTGAAACAGCCTAGAAATTCTGGATTTCTTTCTAGGTAATGCTGCGATTTAGACCCCAGATGCTGTTTTTAGGTACTTAAATACTTTTAAATAATTAAATAATATCTGTCAATAAGCAGATAAAGAGATGGATGAATACAAGCTGCAGCATCAGCAGAAACTGCTGGTGTTTCAGTGCTAACCAGGAGCTGCATCCAAACCTCTCAGCTTCCAGGGGAGTTGTAGGAATCCAGTCGCTTTCCTACTCAAGCAAGTTGTAAACCTAGTTTGTGTATTTGTGTATTTGACAGTTACAATTATAATGTTTGTCACTTTGATAAGATACTTATTAAAAGCAGCAAATATTTGTTGAATATTTTATATTCTGAACTGAATATTTTCTGTTCTACAAACAGAATATAAATTTGGCTGATTTTTGATAGGTGCACTGGTGCCAAAACCACGGATCTGGTCTGTGAACCTAGCAGAGAAAGATGATGGGATGATGGCCACTCTGGCAAGCAGCGCTGGGCTCATCTAGGAGCTTTGGGTCGCACTGGAGGAGCCTGTGACATGGCTATGGAGGGGACTTCAGAAAAAAACCAAACTCTTCAATTGATTTATTCTATTTTTTTCTTATACTGGACAACGCATGTGCAAACTGGAATGTGCAGAAGTGGCATTACGGTGCTGAACAGTGTTCCTTTGATGGCCACTCACAATGCTTAACAAAATAATACAAAATATGCATTTTTAGAAGCTATTTAGTCAATTTTTCATTCTTTCCTATAATAATAATTARTTATTAAAAAATAAAGGTAAACAAAATACCAATTTTCTAGTAAGAGATTCTTTGTGCAGCATCCACCTGTTCAGCACACRTATTGCCTGCACATGAGAATGCACCGTTCAGGTGTTACGTGAAGTAGATTTACTTGATTTTAAGAACATAAASTAATATTGTGGCTAGCCATGCAAGAAGCATTTAGATGAGCTTGTAATTCAGTTATGCATCTTGAAATGCACATTTTCAAAGAGCTTTTCTTTGCTGCACTCTATGGAGATGACAAAGGCAAGAAATGTTTATGATGTCTAATATTTTGCATCTGCAAACACAAACAATATGCCTGAAAAACTAAAGATTTGACAGCATAAACATATTCCTTGCCATGAAAGCAATTGTAGAAGGAATTCCTAAAAGCAGAAATTTCTTGTTGTTCCCCCGTTACAGTCAGGTCACGTAATGCAACACTGCAAATGTGATGAAGAAGCAAGCAAGCCGTTTTTCTCTTAGGAGAAAAATACTTCAATGTGTGCAGATCTCCTGAACCCTTCCTCAAATGACAATCCAAATGGCGAGTTAATTTGATAAAATGCTATCCCGTTCCCATTCTTTCTCTTTAGCCAGCCCGGTGTTCACATCCAGACTGGACATGTGTTCTGTGGCAGTAAAGGCGTGGAGTTCAGTGCAATTCCTCGTCTGTTCACCATTGCCCTGTGTGTGATTTGGAGCGCGCCGGGCCGGGGCGCTGCTGACGCGCAGCGCTGCTGAGCGGCGGGGCCCGGCGGGGCCGGCTCTCTCACAGAGCCTCCTCTTTTCACTGCTCATCTGCACACTGCAGTATCGGCGGGGCTTTCATCCGCACAGGAGCACTGCTGTGCTTGTTACACCCTGGGTAAACTCCAAAAATACATACGTACTCAATGTATTCCCTTTTGTTTTCGTTTGTTACCATGATTTCTGACCCATTTGGCTTCAAGTCAACTTGATACGTCTGTATTTCAAAAGAAAGACAAAACAAAACAAGACAAAGCATCATTATTTCAGCCTTACTTCTCAGGAAATCCTTTACTGAGCAGTATTTCGAAGCAGTATCACAGTGTTGTTATGCTGTRGGAGCGAGAGACTTTGCGATACTCCACATCTAAAGATGGCACCATAAAGGACAAATTGGCCTGGGATCCCTTGCCAGAAGGAGCTCTGCATCACGCCCCTTAGCTGGGGAACAGCYGAGACATCTGACAGGCAACGCCTGGTCCAGCATGTTCAGCTGGGTAATGAAAGCACAGGCTGCACACTGCAAAAGGGCAAAGATCGGGCACCACAGAGTGCAGGAGTGAGCAGAAAAACCCAAATTCACTACAGTTCACAGGGAGGTGCTGCGATTTCAACGTACACAGCATGGCTGTGAAGAAGCGTTTCCCGCAGGCAGCTCCCGGCAGTGGCTCTGGTTCCCTTTCCGCCCGGATTGCCGAATGCTGCTGGGGCAGAGGAGGGAGCAAAGGGAGCCGTTCTGCTGCCTCTGCCTGGCTGCTCCGCTCGCGGCAGCCCGGCTCTGCCGGCAGGGACCGGCAGCCCAGCCAGCGAGGCCTGGCCCGGCTCGGCACCGCTACGYCGGGTGTTACCGTTGGGCAAAGGTGACACACTGAACTCAGGAACTAATAAAAGGAGCTGCCAGAGAAGGGAGGAAGGCTCCTTCCAACACGGGATTTACACCGAATGCTTCAACAAACAGAAAAACAAGTCCAGTTGGATACGAGTGTCTGTCACTGGATGGGAAAACAGAGGAGTTTGGAGGAGCTGGGAGCACGGCCCCACTCCGGAGCCACCTYGTGTGGGCCAGCAGCTCAGCGAGGCCAGTGCAGAGCAGAGAAGGGGCCGCTCTGCTTTCACCCTGCTCAGCACCCCGCTGGGCGGGCGCGGGCGCGAGGGAGGCGCGCGAGGACGCGGGACGATTGACGATTTGGGGCTCTTGCTTCCTTCTGTACCCTAGGAGGATATGCTGCCTCCAAGGAAGGGCAATAATATTTCAGAGCCATCAGGATAACAGCCAAAGAGCTTTCCTTCCTCTGCTGTCTGAAGACTGCTCTCCTTGTTGCACATCTTTGAGTTACCTGCTGCACATCTTTTTGTATGCCATTTCTTAATCTGTAGCAGGAACTATTAAAACCTATTGCTTGCTTTTAAGAAATGAAGGATAGGAAGAAGAAAAAAATCATGAGATTTTTTTTTTGTCACATGCCAGTTTTGCATCTCACCTACAGATTTTATCTATTATATCTACTACTATTGGAATTTGTAGCTCAGTGAGCTTTTATCTAAGTTAGAACATGATCAAGAGAATTAAAAAATCATTCATCACTTTTGCTGCAAAGCAACCTAAAACTGTCATGTCCCTGAGAGACGGGGACACTTGGCCACCAGCTCGCCCTGACATCTACATTGGCATCGTTAGACCAGAAGTGCCACCTCGGCCTCCAGTGCTTAGGACTACCCGCCACATCATGGGGAGGGCCCCAGGGCCAGGAGGTGGGGAAACACTGAAACGTTGCAAACAATAACTAAGAAACGTTGCAGACAAGAACTAGCACATCTCTGGATGCAGCTATTTCAAAAAAAAAAAAAAAAAAAAAAAAAAAACCTAATTTATTTCTCTAAAGAGGACAAAGAAAGATGCCTCATGTACCATCATTTTAATTACATCAAGGAAGCATTAAGAAGCAACCCACACATATTATGTTCAAGACAGAAGAAATTATAAATGCCGTCAGAATGACACTTAGGAAGATTTAATAATAAGAAGGTAGACTAAGAAATAAATCAGGGAGTCTCAAGCTACCTATGTTTCTAAAGCCTCTCTGGAAGAGGAAGCACAGGCAGACAGCCTGCCTATGTCCGCATTTTCCGTCGTTGTTGTTAATAGAAATTCACCACCAGACAGCGCTGGGCATCACCAGAGCTCTGCTTCCAGCGACTTACTTGTTCTTGTTATTTTCCATGTAGCATGGATTGGAAAATACAGGTAATCTCCATGTAGTTTCTATTAGTTTCCATATTAATGGAAAGAAGGAGAAAGCATTGAGAAATGTGTCCARCTGTTCCTGACAGCACACTGTATGCTTATGTTAAGCAATTTTGCAGTCTGGTTTTCAAAAGCACACAGAAACTGGAGCGTGGAGTCAATTGATCTGTCTTTAGATCCTCAAATAAAATTAACATGGATACCTATTCCTGGGACATTTATTTGTACCCAAGTTATTTCCATCCAGAAGCATTTGGAAGCTTGGTCTAACAGGGTTGTWGGTAAGGGCGGACTGTAAATCCAGGACAAACAGCAGCGTAGGCTGTTGCTGCAGCTAATACTGCTAAAAARCACTATGGCTCCAGCCCATCGACCACATCACCAGCTACTCCCKTAAGTTTTAAATGTGCAGTTTTAAAATTTCTGGGGTGTAGTAGAGGGAACTGCTCGTGAATGAGGCACCTTTTAAAATGTGCATGTCTTTTTTTGTTGCATTATCTGACTGTACAGTATAAAAGACAAAACAAAGCACTTCTGGACTGTAACTGTCAGCGGTTCAAATCAAGTCCAGAAACCAGGAGACTTTGCTCTGTCTTTAACTACTTTTTGGCAGCAATAATGAGATGGAAGTAGAGATTTTCAGATAACTCTCACATACCTGTCCAAAGTTTTCCTCATCTATGCAAAACATGAGATCCAGCTCTGTAGGGTCGTTTTCCAGGATCCACTTCAAGGAGTTGTAGTATTCACTGTCCTGCAGCAGATTACAATTACACAATGCATATAAATGTGACAATTCAAGGTACAATTTAATTTAAAAATAAAGTATTAAAAAGAAAATCTGACACTAGAACTCYAAAGGGATTAGAAGGATGAGAACTCACTTATTTGCTTTGTTAAAACATCATTTAATCGCCAAAATTCAGCRACTGCGGCAACGAGGGTGCTGATGTGCCAGTGAGTGGCGGATTTTCCGCCGCAGCCTCCTGATCTCTGCAGGGAGAGCTGGCGTGGTGGGAAGTCTCCTGCCYGCATCCCTGACCACTGTTGGTGCCCTGGTCCTGGAACTGCTCTCCTACCCAGGGAAAAGTGTGGGAAAAACAAGCCGACCCCTTCCTCAAGCTCTTGCCACTCTGACCTTGTGCTTTCCACAGGCAGTTCCCTGGACTTCTGAGCTTTTCCAAACCACTCCAGAGAAAAACTCTCAGAACTGCTCATGAGGTTTAAGCGCTGTCTTACCACTGATTCCATGTCTTTCAGGGTTATTGGCTTCCCCAGCATCATCTTGTAGAAGGGTCTGATGAAGAAGCCTAGGGCAGAGGCACGAGCATTAGATCCACCGCTCCCGGATGACTCAGCCCCAGGAGAGGGATCTCCCGCCTGCAGCGGTGCCACCAACACCCCTGGTAGCAGAGCAGCCTCCTTTTCCACTGAGGTGCCGAGGCCCAGCATTTCCACCATGTTAATGTAAGTAATGCTGGGGGGTTAAGGTAGAGGAACACAGGGGATGGGGGGGCTCAAAGGGCGTGAGGGTGCCATTTAAACTGCTGTTCTCCTCTCCAAGGAGAGGCTAGAARAGCAGCACGGCGAGCCTGTGTTGGTGCACTGCCTCTAAATAGTATGTAGTCTGATTTTAAAGTCTSTTTCCTTGCTTATTCCCAGATTTCAAAGTTAAGCAGAAATCTTCTTTTCTCAATAAATCAGCACAGATTTTAGAGATGAAAGTGAGTGGCACTCGCACCTGCCACTGGCTTCAGCTGGTGCAGATTTAGCCATTACCTGCTGTGGGGCTAGAGCCCATTTGGCAGAGGTAGCAAGAGAGAAAGAACAAAACACATTTGCWTGTATCTGTAGTTTTGACAGCGTCACCCGCCAAAGCAGCAGTGCAGTTTCCAGGGCTCCAGCTCCACTACGTGCACCCAGACTTTGTCTCCCAAAATACTGCACTCTAATGCACTGGAATCACTCAAGTGATTTATTTAATAAAAACCTGGTGAYGGTGTCACAGCCATGAAGTGTAGGACTCACCATCTAACAGCTTCCCGTGATACACTGCCAGACCGGCAACCCGTCCAATAAACGTGAAATAGGACAGATGATCCTCGTTACAAAGCCCTGAGTTAGGATTGATCTGAAGCGTGTAGTTGTCCCTTGGGGGAGAAAGATGGAAGAAACTCTGAACAGTCGTGTCTGAACAGGCAGATACCCGCGGGGCGCCAAGCGCGGCTCCCTGCCTCCCCCGAGCGCCCCGCTCGCCTGCCCGCGCTCATCGCGCAGCGCCCGGCTTCCCGCTCGCCTCCGCGAGACATCCCTGCGGACGCTGACCACGTCCCGTGCCATTTTATGTGTGGCAGGCTAAGTAAAAATGAGGAGAAATAATATAATGCTTGGTACGGTGATCTGTAAACCAGCAGCTGTATGACCTRTAGTGCTTATTCACTGGGTGTACTAGGATTTTCCAAAATTAACTTTAAATGTATTTCTACATCAAAACTGCACAATGGAGAATTAGAAGAACAAATTTTTCTTCTGGGCTTTCTCCCAGAAACATAGGTAAAAATATGCCATTTGYGATATATTTTTAAAAATGTTTACCACTGATAACAAGTCTTTATCTAGTATGATTTTTTTGCAATTTAAATTACACCTTTCCCATCAAATTGAGACTAAAATAATATAAATTTATTTTAAATTATCTGTAGTGACACATACCTCCATAAATGAAAACAGTATTTCAAAAAGGCAAACATTTACCCAGTGAATTCTATTAACGCACAGGCATTTTCAGCTAATTAGTGTTTTTTGCATCATTTCCCTCTAACAACAGTCCAGGACCTTCCTGGGACACCCAGGGAAACCTCTCGTTGGGCAGCCCTGGCTCCTCCTGTTCCACGCCCGCGGGAAGGAGAAGTGGACTGGATATGGACCACGGAAGGAGCCGCGCGGGGGGCGGCTGCGGGGCAGCCTSAACACGGCCTGAGCTGGAAACGTTCTGTGCGGCCTCGGGGGAACGGGAAGGAGATGCTGAAATGACAACAACTAAGAGAAAGGAGAGGGCCAAAGAGAGATGGGACTGCTTAGCAGTATATGGTGATGCGCCACGAARGAGCATCTAACCACCCTCCAATTTAACTTTGTCTCCTACACAAAATCTAACGTATACCACATTATGAAGGGAAGTATTTCAGTGGAGACTTACGTTGCTGAATACTCAAAGAGACCGTAATAAGGATTAAACATCTCCTTGGACAAGAGGAAGAACCATTCTCGGGCCACACCACCGTAGTCCAGCCCTTTCTCTGACTCGAACTCAATCCAGAGCCTGGCTTTTAGCACATCAGGTCTCTTCACGGACATGATTCTTCTGTAGGACTCCTCAAAAATATTGTTTCTGTGCAGCTTCATCTCAAATCTGTTTGGTATATCAGCCTGCGTGAGAGGAGAGACACTGCCCGTGTTAGTCTCACTAAGCAGCCACCAGACAAACTACTCACTGGAGGGCAACAACTAAGAGCCAGGCTTGACGTCCTTGGGTATGAAGCTGCCCCCTAAGGCTGCAAGATGAGAGCTCGCGGTGAACCTGGGAGATTCCACTATAGGTTCAGAGATTTCTATAGCATTTGACAAAACAAGGAAAACCAACAATAAAAAGGTGAGAAAATAATATTCCTATGCCCTGTTTTCAGGGCATTTTCACCTAACAGCATGAGAGAAGGACAAGCTGTTTGCAGCCCTTCCACTCAGAATGCCTAAGTGCCAGGAGGTCATTAACACAATACAAACATTCACAGGTCTTAAACAAAACATTCACAGTGCTTAAACAAAAGAGAAGCGTCCTGCCAAGCCCTGAGCAAACAGCCCTGCGGCCAGGCCTGGGGAGCTCTCTGAGCCACTGCCCTTTAACCAGGGACTGATTCAGAGGACGTGGGAGAGAACTCGGGTAAAAGAGGGAGAATTTGTGGAAGGAAGCAGCAGCAGCCTGGGTGAACACATAAACCTGACCTCTATAGCCAGGTATAGTTTCCTGATCAGATAGCCTTGAAACAACCATTTTTAAGGTTCACTTTTTTTACTGCCATTTAAAAGTTTTATGTGTCTGGGCAGCAGCACTCAAAGGCCTATGGACTACTACCTTTTAATGCTGTGAGGGAAAAGGGAAAAGGTAGGCCCTGCAGCTAAAGAGGAGCACGCGAGGATCTCACAGTATAAAGGTGGAGAATTTGACCAGTCCCACTCCACGTTTCAGCTGGGGCTGGTGCCCTGTGAAAAGCAGCCTGTATGAGGGACGAGCTAAAGCTGAGCTTCCTGCTGAGGTGGGGGTGGCACTGGGTTTTGCTCGGACCAGGAGCACTCCGTGCTCCGTCCTTGCAAGCGAGGGAGCCCCGTCCTGCCACAAGCCTGTTGGCTAAACCCCAGGCATCCCGGGCCGGGCGAGCCGTGACTGCTCTGTAGCTGCCTCACGTTGATTTTCCATTCACAGAGGAAAACATGAGCCTTAAAGATCTGTGAAAGGCTTTGTCCAGAAATCAGTTAATCAAATGCAAAGTTTAGTTTTCCTGTTCTTCTTAACTCCATAAGTCGGATGATGGCAGGAGTGACAGACTAAGATGGACCTCGACTCTGCATGTACCCCGCGGCTCTCTGTCCCCCGGCTCCGGCAGAGCGCACCCCGAGGCGGCACGGTTCCTACTCACGGGTTTCTTCAGCTTCTTGCGGAAGTAGTCGTACTTCTGCTTGAACTCCCTGGAATACGGGACCGCCTGTCGGAGAAGCGCAAAGACACAGTCACGGCRCGGCTGTTGCACAGGGTGACACTGCCGCCTGTCTGTGCCAAGCCAGGAGCTGAGACCCCTGCTCTCTACATCCATGTGCTCTCGGGTCATGGACCCCCACTACCCCACTACACCCGCAGCACTGCGCATGACCTCCCTTRTTTCCAGGGGGAAAATGAGCTTCCAGGACCAAACTTTTGTTTCAGGTTTCAAAATTCCCAGCGATGCTGCAGGATGGGACTTACGCTGCTGGTGGTGCTCAGCACCGCCCAGCACTGCACAGACACCAACCACAAAGAAAGTGGAAAGTACAGGCAAGGAAAGGTGAGGGGCTCCAGGGACACTGCTACACGGGCAGTGGCGCCGTGGGGATGTGCCCAGCACCACAGCTCTGCTCTGCAGCGCTGCATGAACGAGGTCTCCCTGACCTGGAGAGGAGGTGGCRGCACCGCTGCCATGGGGCACGTTCAGCAGCAGCATGTGGCCCTCTCACGTCCCCAGTCCCGGATCCAAACCTGTCTGACCAAAGCGCCGCAGCCCAACGCTCACCCCACATGTCCTCAGGCAACTGTCCGTGAATACAGACACGTGTTTGATCAATAGCAATATGACAGGGAGAGATAGGGCAGAAGTGACAAAAACAACGCCCAGGTGTAATGGATGGCTGAACTAAACACATTGCCTGAGCTGGGGATCGGTGGAGCCACCAGCACCACCGCTGCCATCACACGGGGTCCTCAGAGATCCCTGCTCTGACACCGGGCAGGTGTTGCCACCACTGAGACCCGGTGCCCAGGGCTGGTGGAGCCGCCGCACGCGGGACGGGAGGGCTGCGGTGCTGCCCTCATGCCAGGCCAGCCYGTGTGAAGCAGCACTCAGCAGAGTCTTCCTCGCTGTCCATGGCTGTGCAGAACAGCGCTTCTCCTACATGGTACCAGACACGGGAGCCTTCGAGCGCGTTGGCCATCACGCTATCGTGCGGACGAAAGCCGTCCGTGCTTGTGGTGGCCAGACTGTGCTGCAGATGGYGAAGGCAAGCAGCACTATTCAGCACCCAGGGGAACGGGCGCAGAACAAGGTGGGAATTCAGTAGCGCAGCAGGAATGGGCTGGGAAGCCACCCTGCAAGAGCTGAGAATGTGGCTCTGACACGAAACTGCTGCACACGCAGGCAGCAGCTGGGAATTCCCTGGTTTTTGTCAGACAACATCATTTCCCTGGGGACTGGAGAGGCAAGGGAAGAGAAGGCTGCCTGCCTCGGAGATCCCGCTTTCCAGCTGCATCCGGAGGCTCCGGCCCCGCCAGCCGCAAGGGGCTGCCTRGGCTCCGCTTGGCGGGATGCAGAGCCCTCCCTGCACCCTGCCGGGACGGAGCCGCCACGGGGGCACAGACACGGTCACTTCACTCTGCTCTTGGGGAAGACGAGACAGGAAAAGCTAACAATAAATCCTAATAAGTTATGCTCTGATGATCATATCACTTTATTGCAGCCATTAGGGAATCTCCTGACATGCTTGTATTATTTAAATTCAATGTGAAATGCAATTTAAGCATGTCTTTGTGTCTGTCACGGCACCAAAAATACTATTAAAATCATTAAGATGAAGGATGATGTAGCCATAAAACAGATTTGATCTTGTTTCCTCATAAAAAAAAAAAAATATAACTTAATGGGATAAAGATTGACCCTGATTATCTTGCAACAAAATTCTCCAAATAGTCTCTTCCATTTATACTCATGGTTGGGAGAATAAGCATAAGAATTGGTACAATATACTGTAGATAAGTATCTCAAGCATTAAGCCCGTGATAAATGGATAAATCAGTCCAACAGCAATTGTGCTCAAGCAAGTGATTGCTAATAACCTTATTAACAAAAGTGCAATTAGGAAAACACTATGCTGTAACTAATCTGCTATGAACTGTGACCCCTAAAAATCACGAGCCTTTACGTGAAATAAAAAGTATTCTTGGCAAATTTATTCCTCTTTCCACCTGAAGAGATCTTAAGAGTTGGAAATCTGATCACTCAGGACTCCACAAAACGATATAAAACTGCATTAAAGAGGCGAGAGACTAACTCCACGTGTGATGTTTTAAAAAACTGATATTAAAGCCATGAGTTTATTCTTTCTAAGGCTCATATTCTGAAAACTATTTTATCTACACTAAGCTTGATGTCCCTTTTGAATGTGTTAGCCCTGGTTCTTATGGGGCTATTCCCTTTTGAGAAGCAGCAGTTGTTTATTATCCCGATATCTGAAGCACGTACCCCAGTGCTTCCCCTGCAGAAAACCCYGGCCACTTGAGCGTCAATGCAGCCGTGGCTCCTGTTTGCAGCTCTATGCCCAGCGCTTATCCTAGCCGTGCAGCGGGGCCCTGCTCAGGACCGAGGAGCTGCCGCCCTCGCACCCAACATCCCACCTGAGCGCCACGGGGCAGGAGGAGTCGCAAAGGTCTGGCACAGTCTGTCCCACGGTAAGGAAGTTACAGTACCAGGAAGTTTGGAGAAACAAAGAGAAATAAACTACAGGCTATTTTACACTAACATTTCTTGGGGTGTACTTCAAGTAAAATCACACCTGGAATTTTGCCATCAAAGCAGCAGCAAACGCAACCACAAGACGTGCCTTGAGGCTGCAGCTCCTGCTGCCGTGGGGTCGTGCCAGGAGATGCCGCGCGGCACCAGGCCCAGCTGCAGCGCACGAGGAGTGACGACGGCTCCCGCGCGTTGCGGGGCTCGAGCGCGCGGCCTCAGCGGCGCCGCAGCCGCAGCAGCACCCCGAGCCACCAGCAGCAGGGGAGACAGCCGGCCAGCAGGACCACGGCGCTCCCTCCTCTCCGCCCCGGGACGGACGCGGGGGATCCACCACGGCATCTGCTGACCAAGCATGCCTCTCCGATGCCCCAGGAGAGAGGTGGCACCTCGTGCTAGCGGCTACAAGCAGGGATGAGCACCAAGGCCGGGAGAAATTCCCAGTCTAGGTAGGGAATCTGTCTGTTGCTATCTGTCTTTCTATCTATCGCTAAGGAGGCATCAAACTACCAACAGCCACGGACACCACGCACTGTCTGACTGTGCGGCACGCGACGGTGCTGCAGCGGCACGAATTCCAGCGGCTCCCAATGAGCACGTGGCCATGCTGGCCACARGCAGCTGGTGGTGGCCCGGACAGACCCCTGCACGCTCCAAAGCGGGGCTGAGCGTGTTGYCATCCAAGCTCCTCTGCACCATCCATGCTCTCCCACATGGGGAATGAGGCACCGCGACCGGCGTGGCCCCACAAGGCAGYGAGGGCTGCGCCCGCGCTCACCCCGCGCCACGTTCGAGACGGGGTTCAGCCGCGTCCCGTGTGCAAGATCCACAGTGGTACTTACTGGGCCAGTAATCGCTGGGTTCTGCAGCCTGGGGTCCTCCCACTGCGTGATTTTGTTATCTGCAAATAACAAAAGACACCACAGCGTCACTCCCCTGTCACCGTGCTGCGAATCTGTATTCCCCCCTTGTGACTCTCTTCCCTACCATTTCCACAATTTAGTATTTCAGGGTTAGAGAAGACTGCATTCACCCATACCCATCAAAACCCCATCACGCTGTTTAGTTGGAAACACTCATTCAAAAGTGCAAAAYTACAACATAACCCAGAAGATTTACACTGCTTTGACATCAAAGTTTGCACATGTTCTATTTGAACATGGTCTGGGCTCAACTTGTATTAGAAATACACAGGTTTCATGCCTGAAAGGTAAAGGAACCCCGAAATTTCATCAAATGGCAAACCAAGTTTACTTGAACTTTTGCTTCAAGACTGTCAAGATATAAGAATTTTAAAAGACAGTCTGAATTTAAATTTGGAGGGGAGGGGTCAAGCATCTTTAGAATAAAGTCCTAGACATTAAATGAAAAGGTTATAGGGAGGCAAAACAATACAGTCATGGTTTAAGAGATCACTCAATTTGGGCAATAACGCAACAGAATTTGGTTCATTCCATCGACAGCTTTAGGACGGCAAGGTCACCACATAAGGCACTAGGGGAAATTCCCGCTGCCTCAGACAAGTGTTCCTCGTAAGACCTAAACACAGGAGAACCACAACACAACGATGACGTTGCAACGATGAGACAATGCTCCGAAAACCAAACTGGGTCCCTCCGCAAGGGCAGGGCAAGCCCTGTATGTCCTGCACTGCAAGGGGCACGAAACCCGCCCTGACACATGCGCTGGTTTCATTTGTGACCTGCATTAAAACAGTGGTCAAGACTTTGACTTTGTAATCGCTAGTTTGGAATAAACATACTAAGCTTCAAAAATCAATGCTTTTGAGGCTATTATAATGAGAGCAAAAAACCAACTCACATTAAAATACAAGCATTTTCCATGTTTCTATAGTTGGGAAAAAAACATGTTTTTAAATATCCCMATCTAATTTTAAAATAGCTAAAATTTAGATGGGTTTTTGAAAGATGACATTCATTAATTGTTGCTGAATAAAATTCAAAGAGATGTCGAGAAAAGCGCATTTCAGAAGCTTGGACCTAGCAGTTCGTTTTACGTTAAGTCCCTCTTTCAGTTTAGCACTCGTGGGCAGTGGGAAGAAGGGCCTGGGGCTGTCGGCCCGGCACCTCGTGGCAGCGAGGCTCGACTGCGGGACGGGCCCTGCTCAAACCTCCTTCCTCCAAGCTGACCCTTTGCTCCCAGTTCCTTCCTCAGAGCTCCCCATGGAGCTGAGAGCCGGAGTTATGGTGGCACTTTCCTGATATCGGAGACGACCAGGGTGACACCTGCCAGGCGCCCCGTGCGTAACCAGTTCATTCCCCTTGCAGGACCTGTCTGAAAATCTACCACCTCTCTGGAGCTCCGTGGAACCAGCTCGGTGCTCTCACTCCTCCCTCCCGCACGGGGCTTCGCAGCCTCGGAGGGCTCCTGCTCCCTGGTCGCTTCCCCCGTGGTGCCGCTCGGGCGCAGGTGGGACCGTCTCCAGCCGGAGCATCGYGCGGGACACGGCCCGGCCGGGCCGGCGGAGGGGCCCACGCAGCACAGCCCACGCTGCCTCCCCGCACGGTCGCCTCTGCCCACCTCAGCAGCAGGAGGTACTGACGTTTACCTGAGCATATCTGCAAGGCCTTTTCTGCCAAATGCCTCCAATTTGAGCAATACTTCATAATTCTCAGGAAACAGCACCTTTTTAATTGAAGTTGCACCTGCAGTTTGTCCCTATCAGGCTGAGCTCTAACCCTGTCCTACGGAGCACCTCTTGCCTCTTATCCAGGACGTTTTTGGCCAACTGAACGAGTACTTTCCCCCTAGTTTTTGTTCAAATCACCAATGAAGATACAGAGGAGCGCCAGATTCAGAAGCAATACTGAGGGGAACCATCCCTCCGYCAGTGCATCAGTGACAACCGGCCTCTGTACAGGTGGAAAAGCTTTGTTTTCCTTCAAGTCRCCTTCCTAAAATGCTCCTGGGGAATCCATGAGTTTGGGCATGCTGCAGCAGCTGGAGAACACCACTGGCTGCAGGGATGGAGAGTTAGGCTGGCTCAGGTGGCTAAGGACCAGCCATAGGGAGCGAGACTGTTTTGCAAGGACTGATTGAGCACTGGGGAAACTAAAGTCAATCATTATTAAACTCTTATTAAACTGCCTCAAAGTTAAAATCTCAATAGCGAGGTACTGCGTTTCAGTCTCCTGCAGGACAAGTAACAGCTCGGTTATTCTGCCTGTCCTGTGCGCACGAGTTTGGCGGGATGCTGGATGTGGCCGGAGTCGACCCCTCGTGCTGGGCCGAGCCAGCAGCCACGCCGGGGCGACAGAGAGGAGGGCAGGGCAGCGAGGCTGCCGCGGCGCCCGYGCCCCGACACCTGCCCCGGCGCCCGCCCGCGCCCCGACACCTGCCCCGCGTGGCTCTGAGCCCAGCCAGGAAGCCAGCAGGGGCCAGCGGGCTCCGACACGAAGGTGTAGCTATGGTCTGATAAATACAAGAAGGAACAACACTGAAACCCTGCGGCGCACAACGGTCGCTGTGCTTCCCTATCCACTGGTGAACAAGCCGCTTCCCGACAGCAACCCCCGACCAGGGCCCGGAGCAGGTGCCGGTGCCGCCGGCGCGCCGGGAAGCGGCTGGCCGCCCCTCGGGACGAGCAGCCCAGAGCCCCAGACCTGCAGCAGATCTGCTGGCCACCAAGCCAAACACGCAGGTGAAAGAGGGGCTAAAGATACAATTCAGATGCAAATAAGTTACTTCTGAAGAAATTAGGAGGTGTTTGGGCGATTTTGCTTAATGTATACTTCTAACACTGTGTACCTTTGGGAATTACCACAAATGCTTCAGTAGTTTTAGAAGACTGAGAAATTGAAACTTTTCAATGGTAGGGATGTTTAGGAATCATGCAGATATTTTCATCAGAGTTTTTTTCCCTAACTCGTCCGTGACAGCAGCTTACACTAATCTATTAAWTTTCCAGGCATGTCTTGATTGAGACAATTGTGTAATGTATAAAGAACGTTAAAAAATCTGTACTAATGTTTGAAAGAAGTTAATCTTGCTCTTGACAAGGAGTAAATTATTTGTTTTGTACTTAAAACTAGGTATGCAATTTCAAACTTCATAGTACTTTAGAAGTAGTATTTCACAATGATATAACACAAAACTATCGGTAAGCCTAAGAATTAATTTTACTGATACTATAGGGAAACTATAATATTCTCAAATACGTATAATGGTTTCAGATGTTCATCCTCCAAGCTTTCTGCAGCAAAGGTACCCTCTTCTAGTGGTTTTGTGAGCTACGTATTTCTGTGAAGCGTATGCCATCGATAGAAATGCCTCATTATAAAGGTGGGCTTCATTATAGAGCCGGGCTACTTTAATTTGGAACAACAAAGAAGATTGACAGAGCAGTTCTGAGATGCTGTAAAAGACAAGTCTACAATGAAACATCACTTACACTAGAACTTCACTAACAGAACTGAGGAGATATTAATGGACCGGGTGCAATATAACATGCTCCAAATAGGAAATAAGATCAGAACTAGCACTGCCACAAGACCTTCTTGAAGAAGTGGGAGAAAAGCGTACTCAGCAGCGTTGCTTCTCCACTGCCTACACGTGGAGTTGTGGCTATATGGTCTCTTCTCATCTTATTTTCTATTCCTAGTGTGTATTTTAATTTATTAAGTGCAAATAAGCCATGGGATCATCAACAACAACAACAAAGAATCCAAAATATCAACAAGAACAAAAGAAACCACAAAGAAGAAATGTTAATGCTTCACAAGTCAGAGAGGGACAAAGCTTGATGAGCCGATTAAAAGCAAGCTTTCGGTGAATATACAGTACCGTACGAGGGCACTAAGTCTCTGGTATCAATGTCTCCACATATCAACACCTGGCTTCCTAAATGAAGAGTAAAATTATAAAGCTTTCACTTCAATATTGATTACCTCCCTTTGTCTACATGCTGCAGTGCCTCAGTGCTTACTTACTATGATCGATATAGAATGTTCTTCCGTCCAGGTGTATTCTTTCCTCCCAACCAGGCTAGAATTAGGGAATAAAAAAGAGAGAAAGACAGACAGTGAAACGCTGCTGACCGAACGATCACAAACACGTTACGTGTCACGGCCGACAACACAACACGAATTGAAGAACTGCCTGTTTATGCAGATAATTATATGCAGTAAATACATATATATTGTTTTAAATATTGGAAGTGGAAAATTCTTGCATGGAGATTTTTAACAAGCCACTGAAAGGGACACACTGGCCATGATCTCCCTGGCTGGAGAGTCTCAGCTTTCACCTTCGAAACCCCGGGGGGTCACTGCTGTCCATGAACTAACCAGGATCCTATGGAAGCAGGACCAGGAGCTCTAACCTTGTCCTCAGGTCTTTCCTTTCTACTTATCCCTTCCCCTATCTTCCAAACGATTGCAGCATAGAAAGCAAAAGAGTGGCAGACTACATGCCACGTGATCCGTGCAGCACTCAGCCTCGCTTCGGCCTTCTATACGATACAGAAGATTTGATTTCATTTCAATGATCCTTGCTCAATTCTGCAGCATTCATACCGCACTCAAAAATGCCTTGTTTCAACTGAGCTTAAATCTCTTGCTAAATATGTACATGTAATAGTATACATCACATTTCCCTGATTTAAGGCACATTGTAGCTCTTGCAGTTAAGAGAATCAATTAAGCTGGACACCCAGTTGCTTCTGCACAGTGTCTCCTATCTAAGCAATGCCTCCCTGGGGATAAACACATGCTCAGTGTGTCTGAAAAAATACAAGAGAAGTTATTTCCACAGCTGTTTTCTTAAGAAACTGCTTTACTGCTGTGTTCTAATTAGTAAATGCATCTTAATAAACATGATCATCTGAGCAGTTTTGGATCTAATTAATGTTTCAAGACCCTGGGCCTGACAAGCYGCCAAGTGGATTTAAATACAAAATAAAATCTTTCGCTAATCAGGACAAGGGCAGTGAGAATTCACCAGCTGAGAGGCTGTGGATGGAGGCTCCTTCTCTGGAGATTTTCAAACCCACCGGGATGTGACCGGGTGCCCCGTGCTCTGGGTGTCCCTGCTGGGGCAGGGGGCTGGACTGGGTGATCTCTAGGGGTMTCCTCCAACCTCAACCCTTCTGTGATTCTGTAATTCAGGATGCATCAGAGGAGATCTCTGACTGCACCGGTACCAGAGGTTACCACCACTCGCTGGAGCTGGCTCTGGGCCCCCCTCGCGCCCAGGCAGCACATTTTGGTTAGTGGGCAGAGTGGATCCTCCAGCCATCTGCAACCCCCTTCAGCGACCAGGAGCAGGGCTAAAGGCTCCTGAAAGRAGGGCCAGCCGCCTCTGCAAGGGGCTCAGCTGCTGGCCCCCACGTGTCCCAGCACCTCCTGGAGGTGGGTCCGTCACCCGCGGGTGCTGGCGAGCGCAGGGAAGCGCCCTTCCCAGGACAGCCCTCGGACGCGCTCGGCACGCGGGAGGCCATCGGCAACGTGCCGCTGTGAGCACTGCCTCGGAGAAGTGCGKCTGCCGCGGACGCACCTTCTGGCACCACGGACACGGCGTTCCAAAAACAAAGCATCTGGCACGCCGATAAATCACTATCACACTTTGGCTAGACTATGACAAGATTTTTGAGATCAATATGGTGATTTTCTCTATAAAATATGGCAGTGCCATTCAAACTCAAAATATATTTAGATTTTTGAGTGCCAAAACACACTGGTACGTTCACAAAGCTCACTTTGARCAACCCTTTTCTTAAGGCAGCAGTTAATTATCTAAAATCACACAGCCAGAGACAGACTAAGGCTAAGTGTATCCAAAGCTCCATGTTTCCTACCAGCAAAGAAACGTTCAATCACTTCAGAAACATTATGATCTGGCTTCCAAAAGCCTTAGTGATTCAAAGATGACAGGAAAGCTCTTTGGGGTTACACACAGAGCCAGCTTGCAGCTCTGCCTCCCAGCGATGCACGTACCCGCACACCATCAACGTAGCAACAGACCAGCGCTCTTAASAGAGCAGCTACTGAAACACATACGCACTGGGAAAGACATACTTACAGGAAGAGGGCCCAAATCATTAGGGTTCAAAGAAGCTTTTGATCTCAAATGCACTGGAAATTTCAGCCGTGGATCCTCCTGTAAGAGAAATCCATCAGATTAAGTCAGAGCCTATTGCAGTATCAGATGGAAAAGAAAGCTGCCTACATTAGGACTGTATTGAAAGGGTTTTTTAGAGAATAAAATACAAAATCAAACCATATAAGGGCTACAGAGCATTTAGTGTGTGGAGGTGAGCTGTTAAGAAAGCAAAATAAAACTGCCTGCATTGCTAAAACAGAAGCGCCAGTGGCCCTGGCTGCTCCAAGCACGCAGCAGAATAGGATTCAGTCAAACCGGTCCATGCCCATGTCTCTGTATGCCCCTGAAGCCCAAGTGAGGGGGATTTCAAAGGTGTTTAACACCTGCATGCAGGGCTCCATCGGTTCAGGAATGTCCCATCCCCAACGCAGAGGATGCCTGTGTGGGATGGGACGTGCGGGTGCAGCCAGGGCATGGTGCCAGGGTCCCTGTGCTCACGGGGCGGCCCCGGGGTCGGCGGCGGCTTTGCCCCGTGTGGCGCGGAGGAGGCCCCTGTGTCACCTCGYGGAGCCGCCCATGGCACGAGCCCCCGCGCCGAGCCCGCCGGCACCGCGGGCAGGGCGCCCGCACCGGCAGCCGCAGCGGGCGCCGGCCGCGCGCTCACCCAGGTRGTCGTCTTGGTGTTGTGGTCGATGAAGAAGGGGCGGCCGTTGGGCGCGATGCGCATCTCCCAGCCCGGCGGCAGGAAGCTCTGCGCCACCTTGTGCTGCGGCTTGGGCGAGTTGTAGGGCGAGGGCTGCGGGGACTGCGGGTTCGAGAGCGTGTCCTTCACGGCGCGGCGCACCGGGGAGTCCTTCATGCCCTGCGGAGAYGGAGCGTCACGGCCGGGCTGCACGGTGCAGCGCGGCACAGCGCGGCACAGCGYGGCACAGCCAGCGCGCTGGGCCCTGCGGCGGCCGCACCRCGTCCCCTCCCGCCACCRCCGCGTTCCCGGCCCCCTCTTCAACTCMTGCAGCCTCGGACTGAGCGCTGGGGGCACAAGCAACAGGAAAAAGAGGGTCTCCTTAAACCCCAGCTGGCACCATGTGCCTCTCAATGCACTTCCCAGCTGCAACTCCAGGCCAGGCATTTACACGGGACCTTAGAAAAAGTTCCTAAAATAAATACATTTAGACCCCTTATATCGGCTTGCAATTAGAAATCTTGGAGGTTTTTTTTTTTCATTAATGACTTTCTCACTTGATGCTGACTTTTAACAGTGGGAGGTTTAATCTTGTCTTGTACATTCAGCCATCTGAACAGCCTCAAAATGAGATCCTGATTTACTCATCCGAGAAAACACTGCCTTTCACCATCAAACTGAGAATGAGATCTAAATATTCAACTTTAATATTGTTTGCCTTTGAACGCCTCAGAAATTTTCCAGAAATATGCTTTGGCTGATATATGATAATTGCTTGTTTTCTCCTTGTTTTGCTAATCATTAAGACTCACTAAATCTATGTATGCTTATTTAGGCCATTCTCTAATTTTACATTTATTCATTATATTGCTTTTTTTCCACTCTAATATGTTAGAAAATTAAGAGTAAACAAAGATATTTACAAAACTATTACAATCTTTTTTTGTGGAGTGTTCTGCTGCATTCGGAAGGAAAATGCAGCTAAATTATGGTGTACAAAAGTACTACTTTAATTTGTTCTCATTAAATAAAAGCTTTCCATGTGTTGCACACAAAATAAGTTATAGACACATTTTACAATAAAAGAACAAACTATATGAAAACAAAGAAAGTGGCTTCTAAAAAACTGAACTGTTTTTTTTCCCTTGTGATGGCATCCTTGTGGATTCTAACRCTGGTAAGCCTACCCCTTAGCTAAATAAACAGATAAACAAATAAAAACAAAAAGGCAGCTTTGTGCTTTCCAGCACCCCTGTGGTTTCCAGGCCCTGAGCAGAGCCAGCAGCCCCGGAGGGACGAGGGAATGTGCGGGGGCAGCAAGGGGCTCTCCTGGAGCGCGGAAAGGCCATTGCCACCCAAACGGGCTGTCCAGTGCTCGGCCAGCGACGCCCGGCAGCTCCAGCTTACACACGCCCTAGGGAAGGCAGGCCTCGCGTGCTCTAGCTTGAGGAAGGCAGAATTTTTAATTGCCTTTAATTTTCCTTGTTGAAGGATTTTTCCATATAAGGAGARGGAGGAATGCATAAAATAAAATGAACTAAGCACTGCAGTCTTCACACAGCTGTAGATAGCTTTGACAGGGCAAAGGAGAGGAGCAGGAAAGCGGGTGTGAAGGAGGGATGCAGATGACACCAGAGTCTGTTTGGAGAAGTTTTTAACAACTCCCTCTCCTCCTCACAGCCACTTTTAGCTGCTTTAAAAGGTCTAATCATAGTTTCAGGAGTAAGCCACAGCCTCTAAATACATAAGAAGCCACTACTCTTCAGCCATGTTGCAGAGAACAGCATTCAAAACCGTTCTCAATTATCTTTAAAGATACTTAAAACAAGTTCTTTTGAAAGACAAGAAATATAACGCATGAAATGAGCATAAAATCTCATTCCAGGATCTTCCAACATCAATTGCAGGTACGATTAACAAAGAAGTCAGCATCAAAATAAATGTTTCAACTTGAAAAATATTTCTGATCTTATAAACATGAGGACCCAAAAGGGATCGGAATAACGTATATATTTCAAATGGTAAAATAAGTGTTGCCGAATTGAACCAAATTATCATATGTGAGCAGAACTTTTTCATTCCGTGATCACAGAAGTTACTAATGTGCAACAGAAGATGCACGTGGAAAACCCCGAAGGAAAGCTGTGATAACCAGGGCAAAACTAGGAGGTCGGGAAAAGGGGATAAGCGGAGCAAGGCTGCGATGGTGGCGCTTCTCACCTCGAGGGGCGCCGACAGGGTCACGGTGGGCGAGCTGAGGCTGCGCGGCCGCCGGATCTGGGGCTCGCTCAGGTGGTTGTTGCTGCTGGCGGCCGAGGCGGCCGAGCCGTCCTCCGCGAGCTGAACRGGACACAGGCAGGTTAGCCCCGTGCCGGCATCGCCCTCAGCACGGYGGCACGTTCAACACACACCTCGCCACTGCATTTATCTATCGTCGTTATTTTAAGGAAACATTAAATCTGGTACTTGAAAGATCAGATCTATTATTTCATTTTAATCCCAACAGAATTTTCAAACTCAGTCCTAAAATGCGACTTGCCTCTATACATTTCTGCTCTGTACCCCTCTGTAAACTCCCTCCATTGCACTGATAAACCCAACCTGCACCTTCCCACAGTGCAGCTACTGAACAAAACCTCCCGGTGTGCCAGTGCCCAGAGCGTTCCCAATTTCAGAGCCCCGCAGAACGGGACCAACACTCGGGACGCGCCGGCCGCTGCCGCGAGCTCAGGGCTAGGAGGCAGCTCCGCACCTGCATGATGGGCCGCGTCCACGTCGTGGTGCGGTTGTTGTGGTTCACGTAGTAGGTTCGGCCCTTGGCGTCCTTCCTCTCCTCCCAGCCCGAAGGCAAGCCCGGCGTGGTGTGCACGTAGGCCACGGACGGCTGCTCAGCCAAGGAGGAAACACAGCGTTATTTTACAATCGCTTAGCAAAAAAGGTCATTCTTAAAAGTATACACATTAAAACCATTCTTAGATATAACATATTGAAATACATAACTACAGATTTTCATTTGATCAAATAAGTTCTTCTTTATTCAGCTTTGAGTCAAACCTTCTTTCTGACAACTGACCCTTCAGCTCCATTTGCACCTTCAGGCCCCTGCTAAGCTCCTATGTCCCCAGCTCCCTGGCTCGTGCACCGCAGATCATGACAAAAAGCAATCTTATGTTGTAATGATTTTCCCTTACAAAGGCCYGGTGTTTTTCCCCTTGGTGTTGCAGGGCTGGGAGCTCCCAGGACCAYGAGTCCGGTCAGGGTCCCCCAAGCCCCGTCCTGTCCCTGCTCTGTGGCTTCAGCTGCATGCAGAGCTCGCCGTTTTCTGACAGTCACGTACAGTACGGCCACRGTTAGCACACATTAAATCTGAGCCCAAGCTTTAAGTCAAATATGCAATTGCTGTTCAAAAGCTGAACAAATACACTGTCCTAATGAACATTCCCTGGTAAAGGGGGAACAGACTGCCCACCATCACTTAATGCTGAAACTGCGGTGCAGGAGATCGTCCTGCAGGCCCCTCCTGAGGGGAAAGCTTTCAGTGTTTAAACCAACTGGTGCTGCTGGTTCTGAGACACACAAAGGAAAAAAGAAATAGTGCAAAATGAACAGCCCAGCTGCCGGAGGGGGAAGAGCCAAGGGAGGGGTATTAATCCTGAGCCCAGCTGCCTCTGCACATGCACTCTAGTTCTGCATGTGTCTGTTGCTGGTCTACAAAAMCTCTGAGTTTCTGTTTAATTCATTGTCTTGAATAAGAGGAAATCTTAAATGTTCTTATTTCAGAAGTCTGGGAGGTGAGAGGAAAAGCTGCCCTTGCCCCTCTATCACAAGCCAAGGACAGGGCTAACGGGAGCTGCTGCCCCTTGCCCGTTTCGGATGTGGGAGGGAGGGGAAGAGCCTAAACCAAGGGCCACACGACCCTGCAAGCCAGGCAGCTTCATTCCCAGCTCCAGACTGTTTAAAGATAAAACCGGCCCTTGCAGCTTCCTGGAGGAGAAGCGCACGCACAGGCCCCGCGCCAGGGCTGCGCACCCGGAACGTCCGTCGCCTGCAGCACGGAGCAGCAACCGCTCCCCGCCGGACAGCACTTCCTCCTCTGACAAAGGCAATGTATAAGCCATAGCTTCAAGCCTGACAGGTGCACACGCTTTTCACTACCTGCATCTATACAGCTGGTCCAGAATATATTTGGGTTGATTATTAGATTGATCACATTAAAACGTATACTCATATTTTAGATTCCCATACTCATGGGTCTAAAAGGCCAGCAGTTCTGGTTTACTCTTTCAGCATCACCGCTGTGACAGCACAAGTGGCATTAAGCCCAGCTGTCTTTGTCGCAGGACAGAGGATGAGAAACTGCTCAAACTTCTGAACTTTGGGAAGTTCTAATAACACCATTAATAACACCAACCTATTTAGAAGAAGGTGACTGTGTATAGCACTGAAAAATAAAGGCCCTCATAAAGGTGATTATACCATCAATGCTGGTATATTCTTTAGCAGTATAAAATAATTTCCAGGAAGACTTGAGGACAAGCACAGCAGCTGTGAGGAAGAGTCTGGTCCTTCCMGTCCCAGCCCTACGTCCGGAGTGTGTGCGTGGCAGCGAGCCGGGAAATCTGCGGGTATCTAACCGCTTTCCTAGGAGTCTTCCCCGCAGCCTTGAGACCCACACTGAAGCAGCCCAGATGCGCAAAGAGCAGCGCAGGATGGTGCCAAGGAGACGGAGCAAGTTCCCAGCAAGGCCCGTGGGAAGGGACTGCGCGGAGCACCCGTGAGAGCAACACGGAGCAACAACACGTACGACAGCAACAAGGGAGCTAAGGACAAAGACCCGGCACAGGTTAGAGTGAAGGATGCAAAGAGTCTCAACGAAGGCTGTGAAAACACCGCGCTTTCCTGCAAAAAGATCACGAGGCGGGGGGTGCTCACGAGCCGGGCTGAGCGGGGCTTCATGATGACTGTCTGGGACCACCTTGCACTACAGCCACAGGAAGAACCCGCCTGGGAGCTACCAAGCTCCTCGACACCAGTCAGAAACCAATTCTCAGGGCTAACACAAGCTTTTTAATTTTAGAAGGTCTTCCTGATAAAGAAAAATGTGACTATGACTACATTCTTGAGGGARAAAAGGTGTTTTTAATGTAAAAACTTCCGCTTCTTGTAATTAATTTAAAAATCCAACACTCTGAAAAGAAGTGGTTATTCATACTTTTATCATACTACTGCCTTTTCCTCTGCCTTGAACTTTCAAAGAAATAGTAATATTGGTTGATATCCCATATCCTCGGAATTCAAAATATGCTCTTCCTCTTGCCCTAATCTATCATGGTTATCTATAATGCATGATACTTAAAAAAATATAGTGTGCTGGATAGCTTGATACAACAGGTATTTCTATTCTATGGCTTTGTATTTAAAATATTTATTTTTAACATGAAGTATTTTCTGTCAGATTATGTGCGAGCACTTGAGAAGTATCTGCCAGAAGTGGTAAACTACAAAATGTGTCTCTAAATTTAATTAGCAAGATGTATCATTCAGACAGTTTGATGCACTAGAACCCAGAGAGCTTCAATGCCACAAGCAATAAAAGTCATACATACTCAAAAGGATTGAAATTTAAAATAATCTGAGAAATAGCACAAGTAGATTATTAACTACATCGTATTTGTATTCATTTGAAGGAAAACACTGTTTTGCTAGATTAGATTAACATAATGCAATTCCTGTTCTTGCCTCACATTCCTGAGACCTCTCCCAGACTCCTGTTGAAGTCAGCATATTTGTTTTTTTAATGGAATTGCACAGGCAACACAGTGAGCTGGAAAACTGCCTAGCTGATGGAGAGTGAAAAGGGAACAGAYAAGGACACCAGTGCCAGTGACACACGGCGCAAGCAAGGCTGGTGAAGCGGGCGGGCAACATGCAAGAGAGGAAGCCGSGAGCCCCGCTTCCCTCCTGGAAGCCGCTGCTGCCTCGTGCCCTCGGAGCTGGCCGGAGAAGCAACACGAGAGGATCCCAGCGCCTCCGCGGCTGCCCTGGTGGTTTCCAAGCCGGGGAGAAAAGCCCCGTTTGCAGCCTGGATCCAGGGCCCAGGCCGTGCTTTGGTCCTCGTTAGCTAATTAACACAGCCGAGAGCGCGGAGGGCAATTCCCGCTTTCTGGACTACAGCCTGGCTGCGGCAGCCTCGGGCTCTGCACGCAGCGGCTGTCACTGCTGTCCGCAGCACAGAGCACACAAAACCCGGGGGCAATTCAGGCATTTGCAATTAAAAGCCTTAATCATTCGGTGCTAATGCCATAGAGTCCATTCATAGCAGGCTGGTGTAACGGCCTTGCTGGTGCGGTGAGGACAGAGAAACACAACAGGAAAGCGGCCCCCGTGTCATGGCGAATGCAGCCCCAGGAACCTCCTGCTCGGCCCCCAGGAGCGCCCCATGGAGCCGGGAATGCGGCTGGGGCCCTGCCCAAACACAGGCGCCTCTCAGCTCCGGCCCGGGGCAAGCGCCAGGAGAGCAGCGCGGGTCCTGCGGGAGGGCGCCCGAGGAAGGGGCCGGTTACAGCGAACACCTAGGCAGCAGAGCGGAGCGACATGTGCACCACGCCGATGTGCGGCTCCGTCCAGCCTCACMGCATGAAACTTGCCCGGAGGAAGGGTCTTTGGAGGCTCAGAGGGGACGTGCAAATCCGGGGGGCGGCCAGGGCAGGCGCACGCAGCTCGGCGCCCTGTTCCACCCGCGGCCGCGGAGCCGYCGCCTGGCGCACACCGGGAGAACGGGCCCATGCTCCGCAGCGGCCCGGGAAGGAGGCCTGGCCGGCACCGACGGCAGCACCGCGGCCCCGCCTGCACCTCCCGGCACAGCCGCGACGGCCGGCCCGTCACCCCCGACCACCCCCGGCGCTGCGCGGCGGCCCCTCGGGGTGCAGCGGCCACCGCAGCCACCTCCCGCCGTGGCTCCCCGGACCTGCCCTCACTAAAGCCCTAAAGCTGCCCACAGCGGCCGCCACGCCAGGCAAGCGCCGCAGCGACACACAACACAACGTGTGTGTGTATATGTATGTACGTATGTATATATATTTATGTATATATATATGTGTGTGTGTGTGTGTGTGTGTGTGTGTATATATATATATATATATGTATATATAAGGAACACAAGGGATATATATATAAGGAATACAGGGTAGGTCCCTCCGATTCTGAAATAAAATACCAGCAAATATATCCAGTTATGAAGTGATGCACAGCACCCACATTAAAGGCTGACATTCCACACACAAGTATGAAGCATGCCAATTCTACATTATATTTGTTTCCCTGAAACATCATATAGGAGTACATATTCCTATGTGTATGTATATATGTACAGGAGTACATGAATATATATATTCATGAAAGCTAATTATCACAATAACTGGAAAATGATTTCTTTGAAACAACTTGCTTCAGACTGACATTTAATCTGTTTAAAAAAGCATGGATGTTTCTGAAGGCGTCAAATATAATTTAGAACTGCTTTATTTGATTTACACTTTCAATAAAGCACTCGGGTTGATGTTCAGAATGAAATTCTGACTTGGACTTTTGAATGACTACTGGAAAATGAAAACTGGCAGTTCAGATGTCCATCAAGCCCAACGTGATGCATGACTTTATCTCCACAACTCTCAAATTAATGTCTACTTGAAGAATTAAAATGGGTTAGACTAATGGAGAGCAGGAGACAGAAGTTAAAAATGTAGCCACATRTATTGATTCAAAGTGTCTCCCTGATGCTTTCCATATAGGATTTAAAGAATTAGGCATTCTACCTCTCATTTTTCATAAGTTTATGGTATTTCCTTAGTGCATACTCTGTTAAAATTGAGTGGCAGTATATCTGCGTTACTCAAACAGGTTAGTATTAGAGTGAACCTGCAGTCTTTATCACCAGAGAAAATTCAAAATATGAAAAATTATACCAATATAACTATACATTTAGTGGTTGTACTTCATCCAACATACTGCAGCTTTGTGAAAAACTGTGCATTGCTGTACAAGACCTAAAGCCAACCCGCATTTTATTTACAGATAGTGGTTGATAAAGAGGATTATTACCGTTGCTTCCTCACCACCTGTGACAGTTGAAGAACGAGCTCTCCTAGATGGACCACTCTGCTGTTAAATGATAATTAATGTTACAGATAAGTATATTTAGTGATGAAGATCACAGACTACTCTCATATCTTTAGGAAGAAAGAATCACAGATAACCTCAAGTTTGTTAATGGAGAGCAATTAGACTGAAATAGCGCAAAAATAACAGCAAAAAAACCCCGAAGATATCAATCAGTGATGACCCAGTCAGAACTCCACACACAAAACATGGAGGGAACTAATTCAAAGAGTTCCAGTATCCAATTTTATATGTTCACTACTTCTAATATTGAGAATGTTTACTCGGTGTGTAATATGGTTAAGGTTGTTCTGAGGCACGAATACATTTGCATGTTCTCACTGATAAACAATATGGACAAATTCTGGTCATCAATGAGTACAGAGAAAAAGTCAAAAAAATCGAAGATTTCAAATAATATTTCAAAATTTTGATGAAGATTAAAAAGGTCAAGAGTAGCGTTTTGTTTAGAAAGAAAGCAGAGTGAAGTTGCTAGAATATAAAGTATTATTAGTTCAGTAAGGATTAAAAATTAGTGAGATTAGGTAACATTCTGGTGTTAGGGAAATGCTTTAAATTTTGCCGATTTCAACATTTGATAATGAAATAAAGTTTCTACAATAATCAACTGAAAAAGACGTCCCAAGTAAGCCCAATGTGATCACATTAGGTAAAGAAATCCAGTTTTAAATAAAGAAGAAGAACAGCCCTGGCACAGACTGCAAGAGAAGGCAACTTCTGCTAGAGAGAGAAGACAGATTTGGAGCGATTGTGATGGAAACRGCAGCATTTTTACCCAGAAAAGCAGAGATGGATAATACTTCAGAAGCACTACCTTGATCAACAGTATCTGCAAAGTAGTAAATCTAAATATACTAAACAACTTCTAAAATACATGAAAACCAGCCCAAAGAGAAAAGCAGCATCGTTGCTGTAACAACACCAGCAGACAGCAAGTGAAGGAGAGACATCAGCTTTAGTCATGAACTTACTAGTATGTTCTGCTTAGTATTTCCACAGCAAATTGCATAATCTTTTTTTATTTGTGGTTTCATACACAACATATTTCTAACAAAAAAATTTCAAAAAAAATCCTAGAATAAGTTTTTCCAAAAAAATATATCATTTGTTTCATCAAATTATTTGGGAACACCCTCACTAACCTCACCCAAAAGCAGATCTTGGGAAGGAAAAAATACGTAGAACCTGCTACCCCTTAGAGTGGAGAGGTGCATTGTCATGCTGCAAGACTGCTACATTTGTGAAAAATATGTTAGCACCTTCCMTGTATATATTTAAGGGATCTACATGAACTTTTAGCTTAAATGAATTTGGAGAAGAAAAGCTGCTTGCTTCAGCCACTCAGATCATACAAGTACAACAGATGGCATGTCACGAAGTCCTGTTGTACAGGGGCTATCACAAACAGGACTGTTATAGCGTGACAGGTAAAACACAAATCCATTTTTAAAGTTCTTAATTTCCTTATGTCACATTTATAATTCTGTTCACACTTGGGGGTGCCTCCTCCTACGACTACCTACAGCAGTCTAACATTATTACTTTTCACGTGCAGGCTGATATATTCCAAAACCACAGTTTACGGGGCACAAAGCTAGGTGCCCGAGGCTGCACGGGCTCCGGGCGCAGCCGCCGTCTCCGCACGCCCGCAGCCAGACTGCACCGCAGACCCGCAGGGTGCTGCTGCTCCGGGGCACGGGCAGACAACCTCTCCGTGCGGGACAGCGAGGGCAGACACCCCCAGAGGCGCCCGCAGCCTCCTTGCTTTTTCTCTCTTAACACTTCACCATTTCACTCGCTCATCTTGACGATATTAATTTGGTATACGCTRCAACTTGCCATAGCCAAGTGCCCATACTAGTAACTGATCCAGATCTGAATTGAAAGGCAAAGGAGATGACGTAATTCAGAGCCAGAAAGCATTCAAACCAAAACAAGAAATAAAATTTAGCTTTGTTTTACCAAGGATAACTGAGACTGTTCAGCAACTGTGTCCGTTACACTGCAAGATCTCAGTCTTGAGGAAGGATCTCTTTGCTGAAAGAAAAAAAAAAAGATGTCTTTAAGTTACACTGYCACAAAACATATATGAATTACACTTGCTTTTTTTTTTAGTCTTAATATTGATATAGAAAGTGGMAAGCAATTAAAAGCATAGGTTGCCCACACTCCATCTTGGAAGGGTGGTTTGGACACTGGAACAAGCTGCCTAGAGAGACTGTGGTGTCTCCATCCTTGGACCATGTCCAACCCGGGCAACCTGCTCTGGTTGACTTTGCTCAAGTGGGGTTGGACCAGGTTATCTACAGAGATCCCTTAAAAGCCCAACAATTAGGTGACCATGTCACTGTGCAATTCTGAAACATCCCCATGGATGGTACCCGTTTCTCAAGACATAAGGCATGGCTTGAACAATCACTTTTTGTACTTTCATGAGAAATCCCATAAAATGGAGAAAAAAAAATCAGCATTTAAAAAGCCTTTTCTTTCAAACTGCCTTCTCTCTTTCCACCAGTCTCTCCAGAACAGCCTTCTAACTTGTATTTGCCACATTTCACACAGCAACCCCCTGTTTCAAATCAGCACGCACCGTCAGAAGGCTCCGTACTTGAGTGAGAGCTCAGACAATCTCAGATCCACCCGGCAGTCGCTACAGAGGATCAGAGACCGCAGGAGCTTCTGTGTGAAGGTGACCTTGGGCAAACTGTCAACTTCCCCTGGCACTATTTGCACTGCTGCTGAATCAGTTTTTGGTGAAGAAACTGAGAAACTTGCTTCTTATATATATWTTTTTTCTCTTATATAGAAATAGTGAGGGTTTGTTTCATGTGCAAAGTGCCATGGGTAGAAAGAGGCACTTKGCAATTTTGGTCTGATTGTAATTTTTATGGCACCAATATGTTAATGGTTCAAAAAACAGCTAGTTTGTACAGAATTGAATTATTTTAATTATCAAAAATTAAATAATATAACAAATTTAAGATTATTTTGTAGATATACCATTTATCTTTTACTCTCAGTGTAAAAAACAATGTAGGTGCTGACCTTGCCACTGCTCCTACTTGCTGAGCTGCTTGCCCTCCCCGCAGAGGCCCACAGAAACCTGCAGGTATCTGGAAAGCACGAACGTCTCTTGMGCAGCGGCTGGGCCTCCAGCGCTGTAACTTGCTGAGGCAGCCGCTACCTGACCTCCAGATCATTGCAAGACATCTACTGTAAAGGTTCTTTGTGGAAAAGGGTCAGCACTAGCACTTCTTCCTCTCTCCTTTGGGACACTCCTAGCTTGACATTCCCTAGTATTGGATGACCTATTTTGTTTCCCTACACATATAGGGTATCCCCATACTCCCTGGGTGTAACTGGAGCAGACTCTGAAGCCAAACTCACATAGAAGAAAACACTAAACGTGAACTGAGGAGCTGTGACTSTTCCTTAAGGCAGTTTGTTCTACGGTAAATTTCAGATGCATTTTTGAAGACACATTTAGCTTGCACATGTAAACAAATTAGACTAGGTCAAACTAAGAGATTACAGTAACAGAGGACTGCACAGAGGAAGTGGAGCACATCACGTACAATCAAAGAGCTGAGTTGTTCCCCGTTGGAGTCAGGAGTGACCTGGAGCCTGCGGGTCAGCTCCTCGGACAGCTCTTGAGGGCTGGTTCGGGACACTGGGGACGATGGAGGTGGAGGAAGGGACAAGCTGAGGGCATCTCCACTTGCACTTGCCTCCTCTGAAATGGTTTCCCATGGCTGGCAAAAGAGAGAAAAAAAACCCTGTTTAGCACTTTAGAAGACAAGCTGAGTCTCTTTGGAGTGTGTCTCCAGACCTCACTGCATCACAAACAAGCGTTTCACCTATTTCTGCGGCATAAGGAGCTACCAAGAGCCGCAGAGGGACTTGCTATCACGTGGGATAGGGAGACAAGCAGGCATCCCGATGCTGCTTTCAGGTCTACTGGTGGGCTTAGTATTAAATGAAATAAAGCAGTCCCTAAAATGCAAACAAGCCCTGTCCTCTGCAGGAAGCATTGTGGGATTAAATAAGCAGGGTTTCATGCTGCCTTCAAGTGGTCTTTGTGGTGGAGATTAAACAATGCTTTACAATTCAACATGATGATGAAATGTTAACTAAAATTTAAGTAAAAAATTAGCTGCCATTATATATATATATATATATATGCTATTTGAAATTGTGTTCAAAATGTAATTTTCAATTCAAAATAAAATGTCTAATAAAATTTCTTAAGTATTTAAAAATCAGTTATTAGTAGCYGATGAGTGCAATAAGTCTCAGCAATCCATTTTGCTCTGAATAATATTTAGTGAACCAAAGATAATGTTAACAAATTGTCTCTGATTAGTAAAATATTAAGATTAAATGCTATTATTTTTGAACAAGAAGCTCAGTTAAGCCAACAAATATTCAATAAACTTCTTTTAGTCTAACTGAAAAGTACACAACGGCACTGAGAAGTAATATCTTAGAATTCTTAAAAAAGTGAAAAAAAATTCTCTCACTAATTCAAGAAATTAAAGAAAAATGAGATAAATGGCAATTTCAATCACCTGATAATATTAACTTATATTATCACAAAAAAAAGCCCCTCTTTCTAGTTCCCCATTTTCCCCACTCCTGGAGCTTTCTTCCGCAGGTTTTCAAACGAGACTATTGAAAGTGTTTCCATCAACCCATTTGTAACAAGCAATGCCTGGAACTCTAGTATTGGTCCCTGCATTTGCCTTGTGTTCAGTACTGTGCATACAACATCAGCCACCCACAAATGCAGGTGAGCCTGAATACGGGGCTCTCTCTGGGACTTTTATTCTGTGATGGTATCTTCTTTAGGCGATTCCCACCATAACTGGGTAAGAACTACTTGGCACTTAGAGCAAGCAGCTGAGAAATGAGAAAGACGAGCGTGGCGCTAGGTGTGAGGCTGGCCCCGTGACGTACTTCAGGGACGTCGCCGCTCTCCATGGGCTCCGGCTCCAGGTCCTCRCTGATGTGTCTGCGCGAGCGGAACCGCCTGTGCGCCGCCTCCTGGTTGATCTGCCTGATGGTGTTATCCGACTCGGAGCCCACGTCGCTGCATGGCGGGGAGGGACGGGTGGGGGAAAAGGAAAACAACCAAAGTTATATTAAAAACTGAGCACCWGGCCGGACCCACGCGCCAGCTCAGCCCGTAGCAGCAATGGTTGGATGGGGAACTGCCCAGGTCCCTGAGCGGTGCCACTTCCCGAGGCACGGGCCGGCCTGCGCCCTTCTCCCAGTACTCCTTGGTGTGGAGCGCACGGCAGCAAAGGCAGCACCGCRCTCGGCTCCCCTGGGCTGGCGACTGCAGCCTCGAGACACCATGCGCTCAGGGAAATGCCTCAGCACGCGCGGTGCTGCAGGGACCCGCGTCTCCTGCACGCAGGGACCCAAAGCAGGCAGCGCTGGCGACCGACTCGCTGTCGGCATGACCGCTCCGCAGGTGTGTGTCCTGTCACCAGCCTCACAACACCCTCCCTTCTCTGTCTCACAAACCCACAGGAAGCAAAAGCCAGACCGCACCATCCCCAGCTTTTCTGGAGAGGCTCCCTGTCTTGACTGCAAGGGAACAAAGGCTGAGGTGACAAAGTTAATGAGTAGCAACTGTGCCCAGGCTAATACAATACTGGCTTAGCAGCCCTGGGGCCTTCGCTCTGCGCTCCCATGGGACGGTGCTTTCCAGCACTGGGGATTACCTTTTGAGATCGGTCAGTCAGACATTTCTCAATCCAGAATCAGATTACCCCACTGGGCTAAACCAAGTAATTCACAATAACATTTTTAATTTATAAGACTTAAGTTTTTAAACTTTTTAATTTTGGGGGGAATTTTTAAGGCCAAATTATTTATAAGAACTAATTGTATAGTTATTTATGTTTACCAATCATAATGATAATAAATTCAAGTTTATTTGACAAGATTCACATCACTTAGTAACTAGCTCCATGTATGATGTTTTAAAATTGTTCAAAACCTACAGAAAAAAAATTAATCATTAAGTTCCAGCTCAGGATAATCAAATCAAAGAAAAAGAGCAAACTGTCTTAAAAACAGAGCAGGTCTGCATAATGTGATTGCTGATGAATAGTCAAGAAAAGTGTTAAGAATTAGTTGATAAACACTAGCTAAATGTTTTGGAGAAAAAYAGTTCCAAGGAGAACTGCTGCTTTCTGGGCTGTGCCGAAAACTGTCCCGATGCCGGGGCCTGCAGGTGTCCCGGGGGACGGGAGGCCCTCGCCGAGGCCYGCAGAGCGCGGCCGGACACACGTGAGCAGGGACGCAGACAGGGGCCTCGCTGCTGCGCTGACCACCACGCACGCTCCCTGTTGTCACAAACACAACCTTTGTCAGGGAGGTTAAGGAAGAATTAAAAACAATCTCTGTTTTCATAAAGCTGAATGTGAGGGCAGAGTTTAAAGAAATAAGAACCCTAAACATTTCAACTTCCTGGTATTTTTCCCAGCAGCCACAGTGCAGGGGAAGCRGCCTCAAATCTCATTTCGTGTCAGTTATGCACAGCCTATGGCTAACTCCTACACGCAACCACAGCAGCCCACGCAGTACTCGCATGTAAGAGTCCTGCTCCAAGGCCAGGAGGAGCCTGTTAAGGGCAGTGTYTAAAGCAGGGTTATCAAGTCATACATTTAATAAAAATTTTTTCATTGTTCTCTTTCTAACAAAGATTAAATTAGGTCAGAAAAAGCTGAGATTGGTGGGAACACTCAAAAACTACTCAGCACCAAGATGAGGTCACTCCATGGGTCTGATGCCATCATCAAGAGAGAAAGATGCCTAGTGACTTGAGCAGAATTTGTGCAAACTTTGCACAAAGTGGAATTAACAAATAAATTTTATTATGAATTTTTAACACTTAACGATATTGCTTCTAGCCTCTCCTCCAATTAGTGAAGTCCAGGATTCATGGGTTGATAAACCTTGAAGTTCTAAATTCCAAACAGCAATGCTGGTCTGAAAAAGCCACTACCCTCATGGTAATTTGGCACACCCCACTAACTACCACATTACATTAAACTTGGTCACTTACATTAAACTCGGTCGATGCCACTGAGTAGTCCTGTTGTTGTGGTTGACGTAGTAGGTCCGCCCCAGGTTGTCCACCTTCTCCTCCCACCCGGGAGGCAGCGGAGGAGGTGGTAGCTCCTCCTGACGCTGAGATGCACTGTCATTGGAATCCACCACATCCCATCCATGCTTGGAAGCGGGAAGGAGAAAAATAATTTAAGTTGGACAAGTTGCATCATTGCTACTTATATCAGCACATAGGTCCAGGCTCTGAAATTTTCCAAAGCGAAGCGTTCAGGCAAAAACAGTCACTGACGTGCCTCATTTCAACGACAGAAAACCCCCCTAAAATCCCATCCATCCCTCACACGGCGATGCCCAAACCTACTTGGCCAAGTGCGAGTGGTGGCCTGTGCAAACTGCCACCCRGGAAGCCAGCTGGCAACACCTGATAAATGTGGTGTACCTTCCCCTGCCTCACACTGCACAGGCCAGAATTTCTCCTGGCGTTCCCACTGCCCACTGCAATTCAGTTAGAAGGGAGAATATCCCCTTCCCCCATTCCTCAAAATTAAATCACAGCTCTAAGTGGCTAAAAGCATTTTATCACTATCTTATGGGAGTCATAAAAATGCACTTCTGACTCCAAAACACTCAATATTATATGGAAAGAGAGCAACTCCTATGCCAGGAGAGCAGCACGGCACTCAGGCTGCTGAAAATGAGTTTCTGGAAGAGAAACTCTGACTTCCTAACATTTATCAATTACGAGATATATTTTATACATAAAAGTATCTGTTTATTAAATCCTTGTAAAAAACATACTGGAACCCTTTACAYTCCTGATATCTTAAGTCCCCAAGACATTTCAGCTTGCATTTAGCAGCTTCTTAATTTATACAAATGCTAGATTTAGATACTTCTGCTGTCTCTGTGTGTAATTACAGGTAATTTTCATATACATCTCTGTGTATATATGTGTGTACATATATATATATATCTATAAAACAGAAGTATTTTGTATGCACACTTCTCCCAGTGTGCTGGACCTGTCAACGTACAACTGCTCCCGCATCCCGTTGATGCGGGAGAGCAGCGGGGTCCCGATTCGGGCCCTACCTCAGACTCCTCCCTCTGGTCGCTGCTGTCTTCCTCCTGGCCACCGTTCTTGGGCATATAAGCCATCTTGAGCCTCAAGAAACCCTTCACGCGCGACTTGTGGCTGCAAGGCAAGGAGGACAGTCACTAGCTGCAGACGGCAACCTGCACGCAAGAAGTGTGTCTAGGTACAAAGCCCCTCACCTTCTTGGTCGAAGGAGGAAATCCTTAAACGTGTACGGCCGTTCCATGGTTGGGTCTTCAGTCTGCAGGCAGTAACAAAATGGCAAATTAAACACCCTGCCCACAACTCTGGCGAGGCACAAGGCACATTCCCAGTGAAATGCTGGAGGAAGTGCTCAAATAGCTCGTAAGTTAAATTTTAAGCATATCAACAGTGAATGTGACTATCAAGTATTGTAGCCTTTCTACAATGTTGGCTTTTCTCTGTAAAAAAATGTTTAGGATTTCTATCATTCTGTTGTTAAACATCCTGGGTTGGCAAACTCCACACGCGCTACAATGGCTCTCATGGCTTTGCAGTGTTGAGCATAATGTCAGTAGCTCATGTACAGCTTAAAATTGGAGCTTTTAGGAACTGTAATGTACGTGCTATTTTGAGAGAGAATGTATACACATGTGCATGCATTCCTACATACAAACAGAAACACACACATGCATGGTGATGTATATAACCCTACACCTGAGCACACATGATGGCCATGGAAGGAGGTTTCTCCCCCAGAACTCGCCACCCACCGCCCCGTGTGAGCCAACAAGGACAGTACATCCAAACACCCACGGCAAAGCGAAAGCCGCTATAAAGCCATTCCCACAATAACGTCCATCAACAGCAAGAGGACAAATTGGGGAAAAAATAAAACATTCCTGCTAAAACTGAGTCTTCTATTTCCATGTAAACATTTTAAGTATCTTCCACAATTACCATGTTCACACATCCCAACAGAAAACCAACTCTCCCACTTCTCACACGCCATAAAGATGCTGAACATCTGTGACAYTTACTAAATGCTAATGGAAAACAGAACTCTAAGTAGTTAGCAAYATAATATTATAAATATAATAATATACCATCAAATAGCAGAAATTACTTATGAGAAGTATAAAACAGGTGATATATAGATATATGCATTTAAAAAGTAGAGAACTTTGTGCAAAGACAGTGCCCTTTGGGTTTTTGTTGCCATAAAAGGAGCGTCAGGTCCCTGCCGTGCGCTGCCTGTGCGGTGCGCGGCACTCGCTGCGCCCTGCAGCTGCAGCCGCCCGCGGTGCCGGCCCGGCGCGGGGCTTACCGGGAGGTGACTGAGCGGCACATCCACCTGGCCCAGGAAGTCGTCTCTAGTCTGTTGTGGGGGGAAAAGCAGAAAGAAGAGTCGTTTTACCTCTACGGTCACCTTTAAAGCAGCGAGGGCAAAAATAAAAGAGATAAGGAGCAATCCAGCTACAACAAAGCAAGAACAAATATGGTTCCAGATCGTTATTTCAGCAATAAGCAGATTGCTATCTTGCAATAGCTGGTTTCTACCCTTTTCAACTCAAATCATGTGCAGCACAACACACAATCTCCGCTTCACTCAGCGAGCACTTTCCGCTCGCTGCCGGTGGTTTCGCAGCCCACAGCGTGTTTGTTAAACACTGAAGTGCTTCCCCTTGTGTTTGCTCTGACAACTCTGAGGAAATTCAATGCATCCAGTAAAAATCCATTCTTCCGTGAACTACCGTGTGCACAGGTATCTGAAAGATGAACTGGAACTACCACCCACCATGCAACCGAGAGGTCCCTGACAGAACTCCCGTATAAACCTGGTGATGTTCTTGGCAGTAGGAAAAAGCCCAGGCAAAACAGAACTGCACACACTGCAGATATAATTCCTCCAAACAAAAACTGCACTAGGCAGAAACAAATATTAAAATTAAAAATATAATAGCGACCCAGAAAGAGTCACTAGGTGCATCTGGTCTGTCAAGGTGAACCCCAGAGTATGTGTTTATCTGCAGGAAGGAACCAGTGATGAACCCGTTTGGGCAGGTAACATGGTTCTGTGCTCCTGTGATAACATGTTGAGCACTAAACCCCTCAGAAGGTTCAGAGCCTGCCGGGAACTGCCAAAGCTGACGGCCGCTGAACCAAGACAAGCCACGGAAGCACTTTGTGTGCAGAACCTCTTGAAGACTCTGTGTTCGGACGGAGGACACGTTCCCACTGCGGGTGCAGCGCCTCGAGCAGCACTGGGTGTCTGCGGGGTGCAGGGTGCGAGGCACGAGGCGCACACCGACCCGCGCACTCGGCGCTCCGACCGAGCTGCTGACCAAGCACCGTTAGACATTCCAAAAAGAATCCCCTGGCAAAGTAATTTCTCAGGTCAATTCTACAGCCAATAAAAAAATTAATGAGTCACACTTTTGGCAGCTGAGAGGTACCAAAACAATGCAGCTCCAGGCTTCCGGCACAGAGCTCGCACGTCACYGCTCCATTATTAACAGTTTCCAACACGAGTGATGACAGAACAGCTCCAATTCCAAAATTTAAGCCTGAAATCCACAGTTTTTGTTTGCCTTGCCTGCGCCAAAGGCAACAACACGTGCTCCGCGTGGCAGTGGTGCGAGGAACCAGGGGAGCCGGGGGCCAGCGGGGCTCTGGGCGGGCGCCGCTGCCCGCACCCGCAGCTGCCCGCTCGCTGCTCGGGGGCAGTCTCGGCGAGGCGCAGGACCGGCCGGCCTCAACGAAGGCCGCGTGGCCTGGCAGGACGGGACACGGGCCGCGGCGCAGGGCACACCCGGCACGAGGGCGCCCGCAGGTGCCCGGGCGCCGCTGCCCGCGAGCAGCGGCACTGCCGTGCCAGCCGACCCGGGGCACGGAGAAGGAGGTGCCCGGGCTGCCCACGAGCCGCCCAGAGGGCATCCCGGCCACGCAGACACCCGCGGCTGGCTCCGTGCAGGGCAGCCCCCAGGCGGAGCCGGCCCCGGCACCAGCCCCTCTTGGCAGCTCGCCCCTATTGAGAAGCTGCAACACAGCCCGCTTCAGATCAAGGCGAAAAGTCACCCGCTGCCTGCCCTGCTCGGGACCAGCTCGGGACCAGCTCGAGYGCTGCCGGCGAGCGGCACCCACAGGAGCCCAGACCAAAACCAGAGAAAGGGCAGAGCYGGCGCACCCGGGAGAGCCCTCCTGCTTCTTCCCACCCCCTACCTCCATATTTCTAGTATATACCAGATCTATGGTGGTAGATATATCATTCTAATAATTACATATTAATATATAATGCATTAGTGTATAGATATAGCATATGATTATTACATATAATCATAATTTTGTTAGATGTAATCCAGTCTGCTCATTGTGCAGGCTCACATGGGCTCACCTGCAACAGCACTCCTCTGTAGGTGTTTAYACGTACATGTACGTATAACACAGGCACCCATTAAGAGGCAGGCCTTGCAGCACCAATTCCGTACTGCGGATCCCAGGGGAGCGCAGGCCAGTAACCTCTTTACCTTCACAATTCGTTCTTGCTTTAAGGACAGGCTTGCTTACAATTTACCCATCGTTTGCGTGTCTTCCCTAAGCACCACAAATTCCAGCATGTTCACGTAGGCTGCTGCAATCTGACTGTCAAAAATGACATACCCAAAGGAAGGAAGCTTTGGCGATGGACACRGGATGCCACAATTAAAGATTTGCTCAGCGCCATTCGCTGTGCCAGCTCTATATGTGCTATTCATTCACCTGATATGATGTTGATTTTCAAAATAAAATATATATGGCACTCATCAAAATGCAGCCGTGTGTCCAGGGAAAAGCGCCTCTGCCCCTCGCTGTTTACGATACGGGATATCAGCCCCGCGGCTCCCAAACAACCTGCCGCTTATTTATAGCYGCCCCACGCGCCGGATTCCAGGAAGCGCCGAGTGCCGCCCGCGCGCCAAGTTTACATGGTTGTCATAGCTGGGCATTAGCTTTAATACGAAAATCCAGATTTTGTGTGAGCGCGCCGCGAGCAGGCGACCACTGCGAGGGTCCYGGGGCAGGGCCTGCAGCGCCGTGCAGGACACCCGGGTTGCACCGTACCACCCCGCACTGCACCGCACTGCACCACACTGCACTGTGCTGCACCACACCACACGACACCGCGCTGCACTGCACCGCACCATGCTGCACTGTGCTGCACCGCACTGCACCACGCTGCACCGCACCACGCTGCACCGYGCTGCACCGYGCTGCACCACACTGCACTGTGCTGCACCACACCACACCGCGCTGCACTGCACCGTGCTGTACCGCACCATGCTGCACTGTGCTGCACCGCGCTGCACCATGCTGCACTGTGCTGCACCGCACCACACCATGCTGCACTGTGCTGCACCGCGCTGCACCGCACCACACCATGCTGCACTGTGCTGCACCGCGCTGCACCACACTGCACTGTGCTGCACCGCACCATACCATACCACGCTGCACTGCACCACACCGTGCTGCACTGTGCTGCACCGCGCTGCACCACACTGCACTGTGCTGCACCACACCACGCTGCACTGTGCTGCACCGCGCTGCACCGCGCTGCACCACACCACACCGCGCTGCACTGCACCGCACCGTGCTGCACCACACCGTGCTGCACCGCGCTGCACCGCGCTGCACCACACTGCACTGTGCTGCACCACACCACACCACACCGCGCTGCACTGCACCGCACCGTGCTGCACCGCACCGTGCTGCACTGTGCTGCACCGCACTGCACCACGCCGCCCGCAGCCGCAGCACTCACAGATGGGTATCATGGAGATTCCTTCCTAGCAACTCCTGGAACCCCCGGCAACGCGCACTGCCTGTAGAGCGTTTAACACGTGTTTCCCTTAACGCTGGCAAATACCCAGCACCTCTGCAAAGGAATCGGTGGTACAGACCGCCAGCTTATTATTTAGACATTAAGCTCCTGACTAATAAACGAATATTCCTAATTACTATTATTTTCAGACAAAGCTGCTATCTAGAAACATTAGCTTTCTCAAAGACTGCTTTAACTTCCAAGTTCAGCACACTATTGATGTTAGAATTGCATTTGACATGAAGTGCAAACATTGCAGACCCTAGCTTGCAAGGAAAATAAATTCCATACAAAAATAAAAAATATTATGAAGAAAGGTCAAGCCAGCTAGGGAAAGAACCGCGGTGGATTTTCCTCCACCATTGTGTTTGCCAAGCAGAAGTGGGACAACATAAACTGGAGCAAGGTGCAGACCTGCAGTGCCGCCGTCACGAGGCTCTGCACTGTAGTCTTCCGCAGCGCAAAACTGCCCTCGTTCTGAGCACGCCTAAATGGGCAAATTACCAGAAACTAGTAAAAAAGCAAGAGCTAATTATGCATAATCATGTTATGCATTCCTAATAAACAGTGTTTAAATTTGGCAGATTTTTAGTAAAAAATGGAGAAAGTATGGGCAATCCATACAAGGGTAAGATCCTTGGAGCCTGGCACCTTGTGCCTTGTACCTGCCCTGGCATTTGTCTTCCATTTCCATTTATCAAATTCCTGATCATCGCTATTTTAATTTACTAATTACCTTCAAAGTTACTGTCTTTTCCTGCCGTAACCTGAAAAATTAGCACAGTAATGAAGTTCAATTAAAAAAATCCATGCCAAAAGAACCCCTATTTTCTTATCTTGCAGTCAGATCTTCCAGAGAAGAGACCTCACAAGACACATTAACATTTTCCCTTCTTATCATATATTACATTTCCAAGGCTTGTTTTTCCCCATTTCGCTCATTATTACATCTATTCCAAGAGTATCCTCCTCACTAAACTTAGAAAGTGCTGATGTGCAGGCTCGTCTGGTCTCCTGCATGTTACACTAATACATGGCTACGTGCTGTTCATACCTCCAYGTTTGCTAGAAGTGATTCAGTAACCTGCTTCTAACCTAAGGACACAGAGCAGGCGTTTGCATCGTGATCCTCCCATGGCGATCAAGACCAAAGCTATGAGGAGCACGCAACACAGGGCTCCGTCCTGCAGCTCCTCCAGCCCTGGCTGTGGGCACCGTTTTCAGCAGTTTCTGCAGAGGGGCCTCGCTGCAGATAGGGCAGCTTTCCTTGGAGCACGTGAATACACTGAGCTTACAAAACCTTGATTTGTGTCCAGACGGCACACATCAATGAGGACTTTCCCATCCCATCTTTATTGTTCTTATGATAAGCTTGATAAGCGAAGGGCACGTGACCCTCTCAGCAGCAGCAGGGCCTGCAAACCCTCAGCCCCACACTGCTTTGTAGGTCAGGTCTTCACATCACACACYGTGCTCGGCCTTTCCTCAGCACAACACACCTGGGGCTCCTCCGTGCTGGG